TATTGTGGTTCATTGGTCTGTGTTAAGCTTTTGCGATTAGGTCTGTAACTCGAACAAGATAAGCAAATTGTCAACTATATGATTGTAAAAAGAGGGAGAAGATATCAAAGGGGACAAGCATAGAGTTGAATATAGTAAAACATAATTGTCAAATAGAAAAACAACAAAAAAGACAAACAATAGCCCACAAAAGACAAACAACAAAAAGACAAACAACAGCCTACAAAAGACATACAACAAAAAAGACAAACAATAGCCCACAAAAGACAAACAACAAAAAGACAAACAACAGCCTACAAAAGACATACAACAAAAAAGACGAACAATAGCCCACAAAAGACAAACAATAGCCCACAAAAGACATACAATATCCTACAAAAGACATACAACAAAAAGACAAACAATAGCCCACAAAAGACATACAACAAAAAGACAAACAATAGCCCACAAAAGACAAACAACAAAAAGACAAACAATAGCCCACAAAAGACAAACAACAAAAAGACAAACAACAAAAAGACAAACAATAGCCCACAAAAGACAAACAACAAAAAGACATACAACAAAAATACAAACAATAGCCCACAAAAGACAAACAACAAAAAGACATACAACAAAAAGACAAACAATAGCCCACAAATGACAAACAACAAAAAGACAAACAATAGCCTACAAAAGACAAACAACAAAAAGACAAACAATAGCCCACAAAAGACAAACAACAAAAAGACAAACAACAAAAAGACAAACAATAGCCCACAAAAGACAAACAATAGCCCACAAAAGACAAACAACAAAAAGACATACAACAAAAAGACAAACAGTAGCCCACAAAAGACAAACAACAAAAAGACAAACAACAGCCCACAAATGACAAACAACAAAAAGACAAACAGTAGCCCACAAAAGACATACAACAAAAAGACACACAATATCCCACAAAAGACAAACAACAAAAAGACAAACAGTAGCCCACAAAAGACATACAACAAAAAGACAAACAATAGCCCACAAAAGACATACAACAAAAAGACAAACAATAGCCCACAAAAGACATACAACAAAAAGACAAACAATAGCCCACAAAAGACATACAACAAAAAGACAAACAACAAAAAGACACACAATATCCCACAAAAGACAAACAACAAAAAGACAAACAGTAGCCCACAAAAGACATACAACAAAAAAGACGAACAACAAAAAGACAAACAGTAGCCCACAAAAGACAAACAATAGCCCACAAATGACAAACAACAAAAAGACAAACAACAAAAAGACATACAACAAAAAGACAAACAATATCCCACAAAAGACAAACAACAAAAAGACAAACAGTAGCCCACAAAAGACAAACAACAAAAAGACAAACAATAGCCCACAAATGACAAACAACAAAAAGACAAACAACAAAATGACATACAACAAAAAGACAAACAATATCCCACAAAAGACATACAACAAAAAGACAAACAATAGCCCACAAAAGACATACAACAAAAAGACAAACAATAGCCCACAAAAGACATGCAACAAAAAGACACACAATATCCCACAAAAGACAAACAACAAAAAGACAAACAGTAGCCAACAAAAGACATACAACAAAAAAGACGAACAATAGCCCACAAAAGACAAACAACAAAAAGACAAACAACAAAAAGACAAACAATATCCCACAAAAGACAAACAACAAAAAGACAAACAGTAGCCCACAAAAGACAAACAACAAAATGACAAACAATAGCCCACAAAAGACAAACAACAAAAAGACAAACAACAGCCTACAAAAGACATACAACAAAAAAGACGAACAATAGCTCACAAAAGACAAACAATAGCCCACAAAAGACATACAATATCCCACAAAAGACATACAACAAAAAGACAAACAATAGCCCACAAAAGACATACAACAAAAAGACAAACAATAGCCCACAAAAGACAAACAACAAAAAGACAAACAACAAAAAGACAAACAATAGCCCACAAAAGACAAACAACAAAAAGACAAACAATAGCCCACAAAAGACAAACAACAAAAAGACATACAACAAAAATACAAACAATAGCCCACAAAAGACAAACAACAAAAAGACATACAACAAAAAGACAAACAAATGACAAACAACAAAAAGACAAACAATAGCCCACAAAAGACAAACAACAAAAAGACAAACAATAGCCCACAAAAGACAAACAACAAAAAGACAAACAACAAAAAGACAAACAATAGCCCACAAAAGACAAACAACAAAAAGACATACAACAAAAAGACAAACAGTAGCCCACAAAAGACAAACAACAAAAAGACAAACAACAGCCCACAAATGACAAACAACAAAAAGACAAACAGTAGCCCACAAAAGACAAACAACAAAAAGACACACAATATCCCACAAAAGACAAACAACAAAAAGACAAACAGTAGCCCACAAAAGACATACAACAAAAAGACAAACAATAGCCCACAAAAGACATACAACAAAAAGACAAACAATAGCCCACAAAAGACATACAACAAAAAGACAAACAACAAAAAGACACACAATATCCCACAAAAGACAAACAACAAAAAGACAAACAATAGCCCACAAAAGACATGCAACAAAAAGACAAACAACAAAAAGACACACAATATCCCACAAAAGACAAACAACAAACAGACAAACAGTAGCCCACAAAAGACATACAACAAAAAAGACGAACAACAAAAAGACAAACAGTAGCCCACAAAAGACAAACAATAGCCCACAAATGACAAACAACAAAAAGACAAACAACAAAAAGACATACAACAAAAAGACAAACAATATCCCACAAAAGACAAACAACAAAAAGACAAACAGTAGCCCACAAAAGACAAACAACAAAAAGACAAACAATAGCCCACAAATGACAAACAACAAAAAGACAAACAACAAAATGACATACAACAAAAAGACAAACAATATCCCACAAAAGACATACAACAAAAAGACAAACAATAGCCCACAAAAGACATACAACAAAAAGACAAACAATAGCCCACAAAAGACATGCAACAAAAAGACACACAATATCCCACAAAAGACAAACAACAAAAAGACAAACAGTAGCCAACAAAAGACATACAACAAAAAAGACGAACAATAGCCCACAAAAGACAAACAACAAAAAGACAAACAACAAAAAGACAAACAATATCCCACAAAAGACAAACAACAAAAAGACAAACAGTAGCCCACAAAAGACAAACAACAAAAAGACAAACAACAAAAAGACAAACAATAGCCCACAAAAGACAAACAACAAAATGACAAACAATAGCCCACAAATGACAAACAACAAAAAGACAAACAACAAAAAGACATACAACAAAAAGACAAACAATAGCCCACAAAAGACAAACAACAAAAAGACAAACAACAGCCTACAAAAGACATACAACAAAAAAGACAAACAATAGCCCACAAAAGACAAACAACAAAAAGACAAACAACAAAAAGACAAACAACAAAAAGACAAACAATAGCCCACAAAAGACAACAACAAAAAGACAAACAATAGCCCACAAAAGACATACAACAAAAAGACAAACAATAGCCCACAAAAGACATACAACAAAAAGACAAACAATAGCCCACAAAAGACATACAACAAAAAAACAAACAATAGCCCACAAAAGACATGCAACAAAAAAACAAACAACAGCCTATAAGACATTATAATTACAGACACTAAGATTGAGTTACATGAACATGAACCTTAGAACAAGAGTGCACACGCTTAAATGTCTCGCCTGTTTTACTGACCATTGCTTTTATGTTGAAAGTCTTTAAGAGTAAGGTTTTCTACAAGTATCACATAAACTTAACATTTTTAAAGATCTATGACAATGAGGTCAATCTCAGATAAAAACTCACACACAGACATGTACACCTTGCAATTATTCCATACACCAAATATAGTTGACCCATTGCTTATGGTAATTGAAAAACAGACCAAAACACAAAAACTTAATGTAACCAATGAACCATGAAAATGAGGTCAAGGTCAGATGACACTGGTTAGACAGACATGTACACTTTACAATCATTCCATTCACCAATTATAGTTGAGCAATTGCTATTAGTATTTGAAAAACAGACCAAAACACAAAAACTTAATATTGACCAATGAACCATTAAAATGAGGTCAAGGTCAGATGACACCAGCTAGACAGACATGTACACCTTACAATCATCACATACACCAAAAATATATGACCTATTGCTTACAGTACTTGAAAAACAGACCAAAACACAAAAAATTAACAATGACCAATGAACCATGAAATTGAGGTCAAGGTCAGATGAAACCTGCCAGTCTGACATGTAACCCTTACAATCATTCCATACACCACATATAGTTGACATGCTGCTTGTAGTATCTGAGAAACAGACCTAATCACATAACTTTTACCTTGATCACTGATCCATGAATTGAGGTAGAGGTCAGATTAACCCTGTCTGACGGACATGTAGACGTTGCAAGGAACCAATACACCAAATATAGTTATCCTATTACTCATAATAAGTGAGAAATTCACATGACAAAAAAACTGTAATTTTTTTCAAGCAGTCACTGAACCACGAAAATGACGGAAACTTCGTAACATAAGGTATCTGCATACAAGGTATGAAGCAGGTCTTATACCTTCTGAAATATAAAGCTTTATACAAATAGTTTACGCCGCCGCCGCCGGATAGTAATACCTATGTCTCGCATACTGCGACTTTCGTCACAGGCGAGACAAAAAACTAGGAGTGATCTGGTGTAAGATGTCCATCTGACAAGATTCAACTGACCTTCACCTAATTTTCATGGTTTATTGATTATGTAAAGTTAATATGATACATGTAGTTTAAAACATTCAATATAAAATTCAATTCTTACCAGTAAAGCAGACACGACATACAGTGAGTTCACATATTTTCATTTTTTACTGAACAATGTAGTCTATATTCACAAGTCTCTAATACAAAAATATTTTCCTTTATTCTCACATTTACATGTAACATCAACCATCCAACAAACAAATACAGTTGGTTATTTGAGTACAATTGAATGTAAATATCATAATAAAAAGATCACTAAAACAAAGTGGAGTTGTATCACAGTTATTTCCAATCACAGTAATGCTTTTATCTATAACCAGACTGGCCTTTGATTATAGACTCGATCCATTGGTTAAACTAGTAATATTTTTTTTAATTAGTGCATTTTTTATCAGTTAATCAGGCACACAAAATTTATTTATTTTGATATAAAAATATAAATTATCTCCCCTTAATAACAAGTATATGGTCAGATACAGAAATTTGACAACAACACATTGCTGAAACCTGGTATAAAAATTCACGAATGGATACAAAGATTTTAGTTTTTTTTATACTGGCAGTATCATGATAATCATGATTAGACATTCTTTTATAATACTATGAGACTGGTATTTTTAAATTTTTCACTTGATTTTTTTCTATAATAAGAGGTTTCATAGGAACAAATTAAGTTTAGAACAATATTCCATACATTCCCTAAGTACACACTAAGTCACATAATATATCAAATTTGTGTCAAAAACATTGATTGCACATTCAACAGTCATTCAAAATATAACTTCCAATACAGGAAATGCTTTATACTGGGCACAATTTGAAATAAATTTCTAATGTTCTCAAAAATCATGATGTGATTCCATTTCTCCTGAAGAATTCTGCTTTAACACGAGCTATTCTAACATGTTTTCTGTCTGGATGGTCAGTAGCCATGTCTATTCTGTGTCCATATTCTGTTGATGAAAGCGTTGGTACATCCTTGGGTTGTTCCTAAAAAGATTAAATGAAATAGTGAAGAGATCACAGATTTCAACATTAAGTGTACTCTGAACAAAAAAGATTAGAGTCACTGTGGTATTTATATATTTTGGTAGTTTAATATTTGTGTCGACAGATTCAAACATATCAAGGAAAATCATACTATCTTATAAAATATGATACATGTATACTGATTCATACTTGTAGAGTTAAGTTCATATGCATGCAAGCAACACTGTACAATCAAAACTTATAAAAATATGAAGAAATTGTTTAAATGGAAGAAAAAATGTATGTGTTTTTATCTATACCAGATTCAATATTGAAACTCAGATTATGATATAAGCTTTGCAGATATGCAGAGTGAAACTCATTCTATTTTTTAGCAATACCAAATTCTATAGTGAAACTCAGATAATGTTGCAGCTTTGTGGATATGCAGCGTAAAACTCATACCAGTCTTATATTATTACTTTGCATAGTCCAATTCATATTATTTGGTAAGCTATACAGTACTGTACTTGTGCATGTGAATTCATACTATTATAGCAGTATCAATATGGGTGCGTCTAAACACTGCTAAGGAGTCCTTAGTGCACTAAGGACTTATGATATGCCACTAAGGACTAGATGGGGTGCTATTATATGTAGTGTCTTTTCATATTATTGTAGATATTGATATTTAATGCATAAAATTCAAATTTTATAGAAAAATAATCACAAATAAATGAGTTATTCAACATTGTTTAGACACGTGCCTGTTTTTCTTTGATATGCCGAAAATCAATGAACCGTTAGACACGTGTCAAATTACATAACTGATTACACGGGAATCCTGCTATCTGTTGTGTTTAATCGACAATATTGGAAAAGTTGGATACTAATAAATGAATAGTTTTTCAGATTATATTTCAGTGATCAATTTTGATTTGACTTCGCACTGAATAAGTTGTTAAAATTTTATTCATGTTTTTTTTTTTCAGTTTCTCAAGAGTATTTTGTAATTATTTCTTGTAAATAATAGATTTGTTTCCAAAGCAATATATCTAAATTTATTTTCATATATGAAGACGTTAAGCAATTTATTACTGGACAAAAACGAATTCAATATGATAATAAATTTTTACTACATGCAACCAATATAAGAAAGAAGATGTGGTATGATTGGCGATGAGACAACTCTTCACAAGAGACAAAATGACACAGAAATTAATAACTATAAGTCACCGTACGGCCTTCAACAATGAGTAAAGCATATACAACATAGTCATTATTTCATACAATATCTTAAACAGACAATTTGGTTAAAAAAATACAAATCGGATTTCCTTCTGACATACTTGTTCTTCTTAAAGAAAAATAGATTAAAAGAAAATATATTTGAAAATATTTCTGTTTGTTTTTTCAAGGATTTATATAGTAATATACTATACAAATCCTTATTTTTTTTTTTTCATTTTTACACGTGAGAGATTTAGGTATAAAGTATTCAAATTATCTTGTATTACAAAAAATGATTATTTTCACATCATGAAAAAGCATATTTTCACATCATGAAAAAGCATATTTTCAAGGCATTCGTACGATGCATAACCTTTTTATGTCAAAATTATATCTAAAGCTCTAAATTTAACACATACGGGCCGGGATAATTTTCGGAAATAATGTGCTAAAAATTGTGGAACATTTAAAAAAAAACATTTGTCTCCTTTATATATTTAAAAATGAAACTTCAAAGTTCGATAATGATATTTTAACTTCTTATACTTTGAGAGAAAAACAAATGTCGAACAATTACAAAAAGAAAAAATAAGTACGGTATGAAGCCTTTGTAAACAGCTATCAAACTGGTTGAAAACTAGTGGTTTAGAATAACCCCAAGGACGTCACATGATTTTTTTTTCAATTCAATCGTAATTCCTACTAAGTATGAAGCAGTAATAGAAAGTGGAAAAGCAAACACCCGGTTTTGATATTTTTTACAGAATTTACTCATAAATTTTAACGAAACACGCATCTTTGTCGGAATTAAAACAAAAAACTTATAAATATATCTATTCCTTTTGTCTTGGTATCTCTAAATATTACTTCCATGCTCTTACATAAACATTTAACAAGCTGACCACACTCTTAACTTATTAGTTGGCGCACATCAAAGTCGTGCACAAATGGCAAATAACTTTGTCGAGAAAGAAATAAAAAATAAATAAAATTATTTGTCCTTTTAATCATTGCAAATAAGAACAACATATTTCATTATAAATTATTAAACATTAATCTTTTCGATACAATTGTTAATTACTTAAAATAAAAAGATTATGATTGTTTATTCAGTTGTTATGTTATATGGCACGTGTCAATCGGTTCACTGATTTTCGGCATATCAAAGAAAAATGGGCACGTGCTTAAACAATGCTTAATAACTCGTTTATTTATGATTATTTTTCTATAATTTTTTTAATTTATGCATTAAATATCAATCTCTAACTTAATATGGAAAAATAATGCATGTAACAGCACTCCATCTAGTCCTTAGTGGCATAGTATACGTCCTTAGTGCACTAAGGACTCCTTAGCAGTGTTTAGACGTACCGTATCAATATCAATATGCATATATGTAAACTTGTATAATTTTGCCGACTTTGCCATCCTTGTATAGTAAAAGCTCACCACATGTTGAGACTTCAAGGTATCTTTTTTGTGTTGTTGGATTGCTGCATCCTTAATGTATACCTCTATCTTTTTTGGTAAATTATTTTGTTAGTAATGACATAGCCTTACCTCATCATTTACAACTAGTCCCCTTGACTTTGCATGTTCTCTGTCATCTCTGTGGAGTTTGTTATTAAAACCAAATTCTTTTCTAAACAGACGGTCATAGGTCAACTTTGGATATCTATCCTACAATACATAGTTGAATTAAATAATAAATTTTGGTAACTTACTTCCAGAACAACACTCAACACCTGCATCAAACACATGGAGTGTCATTCTACAATACAAAGAATTAAAAAGAGACCCTTGCATGGAAGCTATTTCCAAATATCAGACCAGAGAACTCTGTTCATGGCATTGTTCTATAAAAATTTAAAAAATATGCATCATATCTGATTTTGGCCACTATTTTTTAACAAAGTTATTAGTGTCCTTTTGTGTATTTTTGCAAATAGCTGCTTTAATACATATTACTCATTAATCATTATACATGTAATACCATAAAAAAGTATTTTCCATGGGTAAGTTGTAATGAAATGAAAAGTAAACAGAGTTAATCCTCAGTATATACTTCAGACAATAAAAGATACTGAAAAAAATTATGAAAACTACAAAAAAAAAGATATCACTTAGAATGAAAGTTTCTTAAAATTAAATATAAGAGAGCTTTTAAACATCATAGCATCTCTGTTTGGTCTGAAAACTTTTTTGTAATGAAATTGTTAATAACATTTTTATATAATTTTCAAAATATGTCAAAAAAATAAAATCTGAACAATAAAAGGTTTCTCTATATTATGTGTAAAAATTGGAATTTGTGATATAGCCTTCTATCTAGGGGTGTCATATACTATCAAATATCTGTCAAATAACTGTGCAACTGTAACCAGCTTATATAGCACATGGGTTCTATTCTAATAAAGGTATCAAAATATGAAACATATACATATTATAAATTTATACTGTTTTGTCTTCTGTGGATTCAATATAAATCACACTGCAAGAAGCAAATCCCCTCCTACAATTCAATCCAATTTATTATTAATTACTTTGTAAATGACGTTTTTACAGTTTATTGAGGATATCAAAGTATTTATATTTTTTCAACAGACAGAAAAAATCTGGTAAACTTCTCATCTGAGGAGTCAGAAAAATATTTAAAATATCAAATAACTATTTTTTCTTTTATAGTTTAACATACTTGTACATGAAAATTTGGAGAACAAGATCAAAATGTTTTTTTCCAGTAATTCAATTTATAGTAATTAGATACTGTAAATTCAGAAATTATTGCATGCATTTATTTTTGCGATTTTTGCAGAATTAACAAAATTGCGAGATTGATTATTGCGATTTGTGGAAAGGCTGCATACATATATATCTGTCATATATCAGAATGCGAGTTCTTATTATTGCGATGTTTACCCAGTCGCATTATTCGCAAAAATAAAAACCTCGCAATAATTTCTGAATTTACAGTAATACTTGAACCTTCAATTGAAACTTCTAACAGGTCCAATATGAAACTTCTTGTAAAGTACATGTACTGATATTTTAGTTACCGATATATCGAATACAATTCAGTTATATTGAACAACATAAGTAACACACCACTCTTCCCAAGTAATCATATTTTATCAAAATTTATATATTATCCAAACTTTCTGTAAATATATAATATTTTAATTAGCTTCCATTTTTTAAGTTAAATAGTGGGCGAAAATTTTGATTAGAAAATTAAAATAAAAACAGAAAGAAAACATCTTTTAAATTTTGGAGGGGTATTATCTATTTAGACATGAAAAGTCAGAAATTCAGTATTTTCACAGATTTTTTTGCTATAGATGTCAGAATGCTGTGTAAAAATATTCTCTTCCTTTTTTATCTTTTATTCATTATAAAGATCTATACATTTCAATTTTTATTATCTAATTATCAAACTTGGGTGGTGCCTTTCTTTTGTTGTTCATCATATTCTTGTATGATAACTATTTGTTAAGGCTTTCAGTTGTATCAGGGTAAATAATTAATATTTGAAACTATATATAAATATATCATTAATGTAATTCATTATTTTCATCACTAATATGTTGTTTTGTTAAGCAAAATAGCATTAGTCAAAAACAGACTAGTAACTAGCAACAACAATAAAAACAACAATGATGCAAAATATGGCATTTAAGAAAAAACTATATCTTGATTGGTCTTCTAGAGTAGCCTTAATAATAAATATATTGATTTCACAGTAGAAGACCTGATCATATGATACTGTTACCAGAGACGTGTATATATGTCTCTGCTGTTACTTACATAATCCAGCTGAAAAGTCTAATTGTTTTGTTTTACCTAGTATTTCTTTGTTATATTTTTTTCTTTTATCAAATAGAAATAAGAAGATGTGGTATGAGTGCCAATGAGACAACTCTCCGTCCAATTCACAATGTATAAAAAGTAAACAATTATAGGTCAAAGTAAGGCCTTCAACATGGAGCCTTGGCTCACACCGAACAGCAAACTATAAAGGGCTCCAAAATGACTAGTGTAAAACAATTAAAACAGGAAAACCAACGGTCTAATCTATAAAAAAACAAGAAACGAGAAACACTTAAGAACAAATATCTTTTTTATGCCCTGAATGATACTGTATCTGTCTGCCTCCTTCAACTTTTGAGTTCATAATTTTTACCCAAAATACAGTCCAAAGGAAGGTACATAATCAGGATAATGTATAGACGACCTTGATTTAATGGTCTAGATATCATTGTTTTAGTTTTAAGATAGTTTGATGAAAAACAGAATTGAGATGAAAATACAATTTCCCCAAAAAAATTCAACTAACTATTCAAAAGATATATTTATTAATGATGTGATTGAAATCTCAAGGTTCCAGGGTCATATCTAAGTTAAGGTTTCAAAGTTTGATATACAGCAGCCCTACATTGCCGCATGTTGTCCAGATACATCTTCATCAAAGAATTTGTCAGAATGATAATGCCAATATTAAAGGTCAAAATCCTATTACAATGACTGATATAAGACTTTTTCATGCAAAACATTGATGATGTTTTGCAGAACAGTATGTCAAATAGACCCAGAATATAAAGATTTTGAAAATAACAGTTTCAGCTGGATTAGATTTTTTTTATGAATAATTGGTATGCTGTAAATTAAATATGTAATTGTATTCCCTTTAAAATGTATATCTGTAATATCATCAAATTTCCTCAAACTCCAAAATCAATGACTTAAAATCTTCAACATCGTTTTTTTCCGAAAATACACTTATATGTATTAAATATCTTTAGCAATCAATTTTAAAAACACAACCCTTCCCTTTTACTAAGTTTTGCTTGAGCAAATTTGTAACAATCATGCACCATGCAAGCAACTGATCAACACTTGCAATCATACATTTACCTGATCTTGATGTTCATAATCCATCTGTAAGCAAAAATCTAAATAATGACAATTAAATCCTTACAAATATTTAAAGTAACAAGAACCACCTTATATGAATAACCTTTTGCTTAGTACTGAAATTGAAAGGTGATATGTAGTAATGTCCTGTCAAAAACAAAGATAAAACAAGACATGATAAAAGGTGTTTAAAAAACACTGATGAAATATGAAAAACAGGAATTACTACATAAGATGTGTCAATTAATGGGCGTCCTTTCATTTTTCCTCGTTTGTTATTTTATGGTTCGAGACTTTTAGAAATTTAAAAAATAAATTTGCAATAACCAACATTTAAGTATATGTACATCTTTTTTTCAATTCTGAAAGCCATTTATAAAAAAAAATTGTTTCCTACACATGTATAATGATTTCTTTATCACCGATACATTTTTCCTACATTTGTAAATAACAGTTAGTTATCATAAATGTATGCCATATACTAATGTAAACTGACAATCTTCTGGTTATCTGATTCTAAAATAGAATAATGCATAGGATAATGTATTCCAGCTATCATCAAATAAAATAGCAAAGTTACATATATCTGATGTATGCGAATAAAATAACACACATTTAAATTTCCTTTTCTTTAAAATACATGTAGTTATTTGTACCTTTGCTAGGATACATGTATATACAATGTATGATGTTGTCCCAGTACCAAAGTGTCCTACATTGTGCTATATCAGCACATTCAAAGAAGTTACAGCTTATTAAGTAAACCGATATTTCCAGATTGGAATTCCATATATGGAATCTGGGGTAAAAGGAAAAAGAGAAAAACATGATTGTCCTGATTATAGACCTTATCTCTATTTCTGAATCTGCTATACCTCATTTACACCAGACATGGGGTAATTGAAATATGTTATTGTAATTGGCTGTAATTAATTACAATTTCTCAAGTAATTGAATTTAATGTGTAATTGAGCATTTTTTCAATTACAAGTAATTGAAAGTAATGAATTACAAGGCCAAAATTGTCTGTAATTGACAATTACTTTTCAATTACAACTCAATTACATTTGAAATTTGGGATTAGAAAGATTGAATCTTGTGTTTTCTCAAAAAAGTATTAAAGGCCACGACCTTAGTAAATGTAGGTAGCTGACAAATCAAAGCCTACACAGTATACCTTCTGTAATTACACAACCATAGAAGATTCTTTATTTTGTAATGAATGAACAAAAAAGAAAAAAAAATATTGTAGAAACATGCCATAATTTGTGTTTAAAAGAAACCATAGTAAGTCACTGTCCTATACCTTAATTAGCTTGTTACCTTCATGTATATTCAGATAGATATTGTTAGACATTGATTTAACATAATCAATTTGAAAGGTTATAGTCAATCAATAAATATAACCCCTGGCTATTTGTTTTAGCATAAACTATATAATGACTGTTTTTACAACAGTTATGTTTGCATGTTAAACAGGTGTTAAGCCAATTAGAGAGAGATAAATATACCCCTAGATACATGATTTTTTTTAAATTAATTAATTGTGATTAAAATACATTATATTTTTTAAAAAGTCAGACTTTCTAAATCATTTCTTTAGGAAAAATATTTTTAATAAGTTGTGATCAAAATAAAAAATTAAAATTTCTTGTATCATTTTGAAATACATGAAATACATTAAAACATAAAACTTCAATAGGTAATTAAACAAAATTTAATATTTTCAAAATATTGAATAAGGCTTTTTATCATTTTGAGCATTAAATTAAACCAGACATCTAGTCCTAACGATTCCTGATAGACAAAGTATTATGTGCACTTCAGATTTATGTTTGTTTTTTCTTTATTCTCGTAACACACCAGATATTTAACTTTTACTCTTCTTTGATACTGGCTGAATTTGAAAATAGTCACTGTAGATCTTAGACTCACTTGTTATTACTATAAAGCAATGTATGATTCTTATGTACATATCATAGAATAAATGCATGTTCTAAATTTTCCTTTCAAAAGTAATTGAAGTAATTAATTACATTTGCCAAGTAATTGGAAAGTAATTAATTACATTTGTAAAAAAAGTCAAATGTAATGTGTAATTTAATTGAAGATTTTGTAATTGTAATTGAATGTAATTAATTACTTTCAAAAGTAATTGACCCCATGTCTGATTTACACCTGACTAGAGATTTTGCAACACTTGAACTATTGGTGTCATTCTGACATTCAACAAGCACTTTAGAATTGTCACGTCAGACATTTTCTTTTATGACAAGTACATTATAATGAAGTATGAAGTCATAATTTAACGGGAACATCTGGGATGGCCAGTAATGGCGGACAAATTGGTTTAGATGTATTGTCAAAAGAACTTGGATTGGTAAAAGGGGATTAAAATTAATGGGTTAAAAAGACATTGTCATTGTTGAAAGGGTGACACATTCTACTCTTATGCTCTGACAACAAAAGGGTGAAGATAATGTAGCAAAATGTTTTCCTGTAAATACATAACATAATAAGATTCAGATACCAATGTACACAAAAATCAGAAAAAACTAATTCAGTACCTTAACATTGAGACAAATATCATGTTACCAATGTAAACAAAGCCAAAGGATGCTCAACTTACATTATTAGGAGTATTAAACACTGTTCGTTCGGGTGGTTCATTTCTTTGTGTGGGTACGTATGCAAATGCTGATAACTCACAACTTCTTCCCTTCAAGGTAAATGAATCGGTTTCGGTTTTCACCTCAAGCTTTTGTGCCATTTTCTTCCCTTGCAATCTCAATCTCGATAAGTTTAAAAGCGTCAACTTCCGTTACCAGGTGCTCTTAGGTATACCTAAATTATGTATATCGACCTGGGTGAAATGCCATATACTTACATTTTTGACATAATGACAGGAGATTTTAACTATTATGAATAAAATTTGTATGAACTCTAAATATTTGGTGAATGATATAATATTTTTGGCATGTTAGAAAGAAAATGTTAAGATAGTTTTCGTCTTATTTATTTTCGGAGATGACATATATCTATTTTAGATATTTTTTAATGATCTACCTGGAAATTATTGAATGTTTCTCTGTCAGGTCAAGAATTTGGATAGTTTGATTGATTTTCATACTCTTATATTCTTTACTTTTACATAGGATATCTCTAACGTCCCAAAATGCTGATATTTTGATTTCCAACCGACGTCCACTACCCCTTTTTTTATCTTGTGGGAAAATGGCTGCCAAAAATGGTTTGTTTACAAAATTACACTTCCTCGTGTGTTTCATCTCAATTATAAAACACTGACTCTAATAATCTGATGAAGCTTTGTAATCCAGGAAAACTTGAAAAAAGGAAGAGTTCATCAAAAGATATATAATTGAAATTGCTTAAAACATGTAAAAAGAATTCTTGAAAATTATATCATCTTGAATATGGTTGCCTTTACTTCTAATATTGTGTCACATTGTATATGATTTCTAGACATGCACCTGTATTAAGAATTTAATGTATAAATACAAGATTTGATTATTGTGTTCAGACTTTTGAAAGCCTGAATATTGTAGTAAATGTAGCTTAAAAATGAAAAATGACAAGAATTTAATTAATGTGGTTGAAATATGTCAAAGCTTATGGGTTCCCAAAGTGTGAAGATAGGATAAAGATTCCATAGGGGCAACAAAACTTGAAAAAAAAACCCTGACCAAACCATGACAAAAAACAAAAATCGACGAAACAGCAGTATACAGAACACTTAACCACTACTTCATAGAAAACTAAAGACTGACTTTGTATATAATAATAATAATTATTATTTTTATTAAAGAGGGCAACATTATTTAGTATAATAATAATATCCCCTGAGGCCCTCTGAATAACTTAAAATATAATTCTAACTGAACAAAATGAACCCAAGTTCAAAAACATGAAAAACAACTGGTGATCTCATGCTCTAAAGACAGGTAGCAGATCCTGCTCCACATGTTTCATCTGTCAGTGTGAATTTTGTATTTAATTCAGATCTTCATTGCCAGGGCTTTTCTTCATTCCCAATTACATGTACAAAAACAGCTGTTTGTTGATTAGAACATTAAAAAAAAACAGATTAGCATGACCAGAGTTCCAGTCTAGCTAGAACAAAGCAGGCTTCATATTCATATACCATTAACACGATGAAGATGTCATCGTCCTGATATGAATGTGTTATTTGCCACTAAACATAAAACACGTTTTCAAAATCATCATCATAGAAATTATAAAAAGATTACTTCATGAGAATATGTCCAGAGGGGTCAGCTGATATGAATGGTATTGATAAAATTATTTTTGCTGTGGCTGATGACAGAAAGAAGCCAATATAAAAGCTAAAATTCGTGTGACAATTTCTAAATTGTTGTTATTTAGGTCTGTCACAATTTCCTATAGATTTGCATATATATGTTTTCCAGAAGATTACCAAGTAGGTTAACAAAAATGTGTGAAGGAATAATAATAACTCTTTATCTGTAAAAATTTGTACAATGAATGTATCTTTACTTGTGTTTTTGATTACAGCAAGGACAACATTGTAAACTCAAGAGTGTCAGTTTTCAGATTATGCTGTTTTAGATGCAGTCCTTAAAATAAATTAAAGTACAACTACTTGTTTTTGCATTCCTCACATGTGTTTAGTTAAAACTCTGAAAATGTATTTTATGGAATAACATAATTCTGCTATTTTCTCAATTGTTGTGACAGCACAAAAAAAAAAGAAAAATAATCACACCAAAAAATATAAGGAGGTGTGGTAAAATTGCCAATGAGAAAACTATCCAGCAGAGTCCAAATTAGGTTTACTTAAACTTGACACATTACAGTCTTTAACAATAAGCAATTTCCATACTGTATAGTCAGCTATAAAAGGCCCAGACATGTCCATGATGGCAAAATGAGAAACCATAAAACCAACAACAAGATGGAAATGGCTTGACTCATCAAATTGTCACAAAGTACAAGAACAACTAATATTAATAAAAAATACACAAAGTATAGATCTAAGAATACTTAGTTAATGAAAGCTAGTTCAAAGCCAATAACAACTAAATCATGTTCTCCCAGACTAAAGTATCAATGGGTACATTCAGACGAATTTATTATAAAGACATTATAATCAGTCTGAGAAAAGCAGGACCTTGTGCAATGTCAATATATTAGTAAATAATATTGACAGGATGTAGGACTATAAGTTTTCATAAATTAAAAGCAATACATATTTAATTATGTTCTAATGTTTCAAAATCAATGTTAGTACCAATAAAAAACTATATTCAAAGATTTTACTAAGGTGTTTAAATGATATCATTTAAAGAATAAGTTAATTCAAAGGAGCAATTACATTGCACAGATCGTATTTAAATTTACATGCTTTATGTACAACATTTGTATAAATAATAGGATATGATATCCTGTTCTTTTATAAGAATTTTATAGGTAAAGCAAAACTTCAAAACCAAATCTTTGTATCAATGACAGAATCTGGTAAAAGTGTTTAGTAATTTAGTAATAAAATAAACGACTTAATAATTTACCAGTTATTTGAAAATTATGTTCATTGAAATCTTAAACTAACTACAGAAACGGGCATAGGGAACAAGTTGTGAAATAGCCACCCATAAGAAGGGGCCAGACAAACATCATTGTTCAGAAAGAAAAATTAAAAATTGAGAACAAAATTTTCTCTTTTCTTGTAAATTTTTGTTTTGATTTTTCTGTGCAAACCTGAATTATAGAAATCTAGCAAAGGACATATATTTTCAGTAGAATTCATAATGCGTACATATTAGTCCAGAATACTGGATCTGCCAATTGTTGCATGCCCTATATGAGGTAAATCCTGAAGTATCTGAATAAAACTTTTTCATAGCAAGTCTTATGATGTACAGATATGTTAATTATACTTTCTTATATTTTAGGTTAATATATGTGACTAACTCGTATGATTCAAAATGAGACTGTTTAAAATGGATGCTCTATTAATGTATCACATTACCTCATGATACTATGGGATCTTGTGTATGTAAAGATAAGATAGAAGACAGACATGGGAGTGCAAATAGGGTACCATATAATCGTGGACAACCTTTACATCAGCGTCATTCTGCCAGTTCAACTTCTCCTGTAAATGAAGCAGCCAATAGTAGAGTGCGGCATGCAGTCCTAGAAACTTTACATTTGATCAGGACATTAGTTGATCCGTAAGTAGAATAGAGATCAAAGGGCCTAGTAAATATTTTTTAGAACACATTTTTGTCCTTTGGTCTTTAAATGGATAATTGTCTCATTGGCAATCATATCACATCTCCTTATTTTTATCTCGAGGCCAGAAATTAAAATTTTTGTACATTTTCATCCAACTCATATATTTTTTGTAGAAAATAGTTATTTTTAACCCAAGTTACCAATCTTGATCATCTGTTGAAGAACCAGGCAATTTAAAAATATTTTCAAAGAATTGTTAAAACATATTCAAGACATTGAACAAAACATGGTATTTCTATCTAGTATTCAGTCTTAATCAAATATGGTATGTAGGTACAACACTGTTAAACGTATATATATATATATTTGTATGTGTGTGTGGTTCATTCATGTTCAAACTGCTTTTTGTTTTCTTTGTATGTAAACTAGTCTAGACTATTGTTTTTTTTTGTTATTGTCGTTATATTAATGTTTTATATTGTATTATGCTCTTTGTGAGCCCATTTAATGGAAATAAAACATCTATTGTCTATTGTCTATTGTCTATTGTAGTATAAATTTATTTATAGAATTAGATTTGTGAACATCAAATAATTTAATTATATAAAGTTATAGAATTTAAAGAAATTTGAAGGAGAGTTATCTCTATTGACAATTTACAGTGCATTACCGGTACATACAAGTTTTATATGCAGTTACCATAATAAGAAATAAAGACTAGTGTTGCTTTTGTTAATAATTACATTTTTAATATGATTTTGATTCACTTTAAATTTCAGCTTTTTCTTTTTGTTACTTTTTTTAGTTTTAGGCAGACTGTCACTTGATCTGTTGTGTACAACTCTGACAGTCAATCAATCTATATGTCTTTTGATATTCCTGTGAGGGTGCTATATCAGTGAAATATGCCCAACATAAGTCATTCATATTATATAATAAAGGAGTGAATTATATAAAATATAACTCATATTAGATACATATAATACAAGAGATTGACAACTAGACCAAATCACACATAACATGGCCCTCATGGTTTCATTGATAAGTACAAATTAAAAAAAAAATTCTCAAAGATCACAAAAAAATATTTATATGATATCTTTGATACCATATAGATCAAGAACTCATTTAAATTTCCATGTTTGCACTATAAAAAAACCAAGAGTATCAGCCAATCCAACACCACCCTTCTTTCGCTGATTTTTTTGTCTCAGCTGCAACAAAAGTCGCAGCATGCAAGACATAGGTATTACTATCCAGCAGCGGCAGTGTAAACAATTTGTATAAAGTTTTATCTTTTGGAATGTAGAAGATCTGGATGCTTCATGCCTTGTATGCAGATAATATATGTGACAAAGTTTCCATCTGTCATGTGCCCATTGTCCTTGACCTCATTATCATGGTTCAGCGACTGGATGAACAATATTATATTATATTAAATTACATTTTTTTTTGTCATGTGAATTTCTCACTTATTATCGGTAATAGGATAACTATATTTGGTATATGGGTTCCTTGCAACATCTATGTGTTCGTCAGACAGAGTTCACATGACCTTTACCTCATGATATGGATCAGTGATCAAGATTAAAGTTACATGATTAGGTTCGTTTCTCAGATACTATAAGCAGTAGGTCAACTATATGAAGTGTATGGAAGATTGTAAGGGTACATGTCAGTCTGAAAGGTTTCATCTGACCTTGACCTCAATTTCATGGTTCATTGGTCAATGTTAAGTTTTTGTGTTTTGGTCTATTTTCAAGTACTATCAGCAATAGGTCAACTGCATTTAGTGTATGGAATGATTGTAAGGTGTTCATGTCTGTCTAGCTGTCTATCAGGTATCATCCGACCTTGACCTCATTTTCATGGTTCATTGGTCAATGTTAAGTTTTTGTGTTTTGGTCTGTTTTTCAAATACTATAAGCAGTAAGTCAACTTTATTTGGTGTATTTAATGATGGTAAGGTGTACATGTCTATCCGGCAGTTATCATCTGACCTTGACCTCATTTTCATTGTTCATTGGTAAATGTTAAGTTTTTGTGTTTTGGTCTGTTTTTCTATTACCATAAGCAATAGGTCAGCTATATTTGGTGTATGGAATAATTATAAGGTGAACATGTCTGTCTGACAGGATTTATCTGACCTTGACCTCATTGTCATGGATCTTTAAAAAATGAAAAATATTAACTTTATGAAATACTTGTAGTAAAACCTTTATCTTTAAGACTTTCAACATAAAATCAATGGTCAGTAAAAAAGGCGGGACATTTCAGCTTGTTTTAATTAAGTCTCCCAAACGAAGTTTGGGAAGACTTATTGGTTTTGCTCAGTTCTTATTATTATTATTCTTCTTCTTCTTCTGCCGCTTTTAAATTTGAACTTGTCCGCACCCGTTCTCTGAAACAGCTTGTCGGATTAACTTAGGGTTTCACAATATGTTAGACTAACATGTCTAGTGCTGCAATCAGGGTTTTGTTTGTGCAATGGGGTTTATAAAGGGGTACTTTGAGGGACAAAAAGAAAGAGGGTTTTACTATAGAACCCTATGGGATTTTTTTTTTTTAATTTTCAAATGATTATAAATTGAAAACCGTTTGTGATAGACACAATCTTTTTATTTGAAAATGTTCTAAATGATAAAGCACATTAAATGAAATACAGGGTTAATCCCCAGGGGTCACCCCCACCCCCTGCCATTTAAGAAAGTTCTAACATCTTGTAAGTGGTCAAGATCCCAACCCCTAATCCATATATATTCTGGTTTGTCATGCGAAGATGGTTTGAATGATATACAGGGTTAGTCCCCAGGGGTCATCCCGACCCCCTGCCATTTGGGAAAGTTCTAATATCTTGTAAATGGTCGAGATCCCCACCCCTAAACCATATATATTGTGGTTTGTCATGATAAAGCACTTCAAATGAAAAACAGGGTTAGTCCCCAGGGGTCACCCCCACCCCCTGCCATTTAAGAAAGTTCTAATATCTTGTAAGTGGTCAAGATCCCAACCCCTAATCCATATATATTCTGGTTTGTCATGCGAAGATGGTTTGAATGATATACAGGGTTAGTCCCCAGGGGTCATCCCAACCCCCTGCCATTTGGGAAAGTTCTAATATCTTGTAAATGGTCGAGATCCCCACCCCTAAACCATATATATTCTGGTTTGTCATGATAAAGCACATAAAATGAAAAACAGGGTTAGTCCCCAGGGGTCACCCCCACCCCCTGCCATTTAAGAAAGTTCTAATATCTTGTAAGTGGTCAAGATCCCAACCCCTAATCCATATACATTCTGGTTTGTCATGTGAAGATGGTTTGAATGATATACAGGGTTAGTCCCCAGGGGTCATCCCGACCCCCTGCCATTTGTGAAAGTTCTAATATCTTGTAATTGGTCGAGGTCCCCACCCCTAAACCATATATATTCTGGTTTGTCATGATAAAGCACATCAAATGATAAACAGGGTTAGTCCCCAGGGGTCACCCCTGCCATTTAAGAAAGTTCTAATATCTTGTAAGTGGTCAAGATCCCCACCCCTAAACCATATATATTCTGGTTTGTCATGCGAAGATGGTTTGAATGATATACAGGGATAGTCCCCAGGGGTCACCCCCCTACCCTTGATATTTAAGAAAGTTCTAATATCTTGTAAGTGGTCAAGATCCCCACCCCTAAACCATATATATTCTGGTTTGTCATACAAAGATGGTTTGAATGATATACAGGGTTAGTCCCCAGGGGTCATCCCGACCCCCTGCCATTTGAGAAAGTTCTAATATCTTGTAAATGGTCGAGATCCCCACCCCTAAACCATATGTATTCCTGTTCAACATATCTCTAACTATGAATGACGTATACGGTCAGTCCCCAGGGGTTCCCCCCACCCCCAATGTTCTAATATCTTGTAAATGGTCAAGATCCCCACCCCTAAACCATATATATTCCTGTTCGTCATGTCTCGAACATTTGAATGACGTATAGGGTCAGTCCCCAGAGGTTCCCCCCACCCCCAATGTTCTAGTATCTTGTAAATGGTCGAGATCCCCACCCCTAAACCATATATATTCTGGTTTGTCATGCCAAGATGATTTGAATGATATACAGGGTTAGTTCCCATCCATCACTAATGCATATAACTTTACTGGACCAAACCAATTTTCACTGGCAATAAGATGGGTTGCTAATCTCTTGTATTATATGGCGATAAGATGAGTTGCCAATCTCTTGTATTATATGGCAATAAGATGAGTTGCCTATCTCTTGTATTATATGTCTCTTCTTATATTGTTCAAAAAATTGACTTGAATAATAATAAGGTTTCCTTTGATCTAAGCTTGAGATAATAAGATTCAACTTTATTTTTATATTATTATCAGGGAAGGAGAACCTATTCAGGCCATGCTGATCCTACAACAGATTGGTGAAACAGAATCTGGCTGGCTAGATGTTGTTATAGGACTAATTGTTCACATACCAATGGATGAACCACTTGGTCCTGCTGTTATAGATCTGCTATTAGATGAATGCCCCTTACCCACAAAGGTTTGTGATAAACACATTTTTTCAGCCAATTACTATAAACATACTTGTTGGTCCTGCTGTCCTGGGTCTATTAATAAATTAATAATCCCTACAAACTTTTTCTTATCAAATTGTAAGTTACATTTTAAATATTAACCACTTGCAATTTACCAAAAGGTCTACAAAAAAAAAGTCAATCGGTTCAGGACCTCAAAATTTTTTTTCAATTTGATCAATATCATGATAGATATTTATAGTCACTTATGCTCTTGTTTATATACTCAAACAAACATAAAATATTTTTAAAATAAAACCAAACACAATTAGGGATATCAGCTTGCCTAAAAAGTACAGTATACCATTTTATTATTTGTTACATTAATAATTAATACTTATGTTCATATATATTTAACTGCATGTCCTTAGCCCCTCTCGTCATAACATTAACAATACACAATCTACAAAAGAAATAAATTCTGTTACTAAGCAAGTTAATTATGTAAAATCTAAAATTCTTAATTGTGTTCACTTTTAGCAGTGTTACAAATATAAATATATCAAAAACAAATTTATCAACCCTGATAATCTATAAGTTAGTAGATGGATGGGTCAGAAATGACCAGAATGAATTATCAGAAAGGCAAGGTTGAATAACACATAAGAAAACCTTGATTTACCACTACAGCTCTTCCTGCCACATAAAAGCTTGTCGAATTACCAGTACTCATTTACTGAGTAGTCCTTAGTCTTCCTCTTCTATGTAATAGCCTCTTGTAAGTAAGAGCACCTCCATATGGAGTTTCACATAAATGTCAAAACAAATACATGTGTTCATTATACATGTAACATTTATAAATACATATGCTCACAATAGTCCGCCTGTAAGAAGTAAATACTGAAAAATAATGTAAGAGAGTCTGTCGATTTAGATAAGATATTTTCATTTTTATAACAAATTTTTGTCATTTTCAATTTTAAATTCTAAGATTTTAATCTCTATGATTGGTTAATTCCAGGATGGTATAATGAAGTTATACACTAGATTAAAACATGACCCAAGTGGTGGAGAATTCATGAGATTTCACAGTGAATGTCAGCAGAGAAATACTTGTATAGTACTGGGATGTCTTGCTGCAAAGTTGGCAGGTAGGGACAATTATTTTAGTACTTAGTCTCACCCAGTATATTAATTAGCTTGAAAGTCTTGCAGTTTTGTCTGTTAGGGCTGTTCCATTAAAACATACATGGCACCCAGCAAAAGGCACTCTGGAAATGGGATAACCATCTATAGGGGCAAATTAAGAATTTCTCTTACAATTAACTGTACAAAAGCACCCATCCATAGATGAGATTTCAAAGTGCCTTCCCTGGGTCCCATGTATTTTTTTCATGGAACATGCAATTTTCAAAATTATTGTGAATTAAAAAGAACCGAGATCCTTCAAATTTAAACACAATAAACTGCCAAAAAACTCCTCTTCAATTTCATATTCACATTCAGGATAGGCAGTGATTTTAAAATTTTTGTGTGTGTGCATATGAAGAAATCATTTTAATAGATATCAACTGTACCAATGCATTGTATCAAATCTTTTGTAATGTTGGAAATTATCAGTTATTAAACCATTAATGTTATTTTTGGTCAACTACCATTTATACAATTTGTTGATATTATCTTATTCTTTTATTTTCAGGGCCTACCAGCGTAGCAATTTTAACTACAGAAGTTCTTAACTATTTGATATCTAGACTGGTATATATATTAGTCATACTTGTAGTAAAACACATGTATTTGAAAATACAGTTTCACGGAAAACAAAAAAACATACAACATCACAGAAAACAGTAACAAGAGTTATTTGTTTAATTAGAACACAGTTTTCCTGGAGTTTTTGTGGTTTATTCCCGATTGTCCCACTTTTTAAAATTTTAGAGTTCTGATTGTCCCACATGAAAAGTTCTGATTGTCCCACATTATTTTATGAATAAAATGTTCTTAGATAAACAAGGTAACTGTTGTTTGTTTTGCTAAAAAAAAACAAGAAATAATTATTGCACATTTAATATTAATTTTATAAAAGTATTAAAAAAATGTTTTTTAAATAATTAGATTAATGCACTTTTGATTAAACAAATATAATATTTCTGATTTATGAAATATATCTACAATGTTACGTTATTCATAAAACAAATGTCAATACCGTAATTTTAATTCCTTTTTCTCTGTAAAGTTTTTGAATAAATTTAGAAATAATGCATGCAATTTCAAAAAATAGGTATAAACTCATTTACATTCTACACTCTACATGAACTTGTTTACTAGGGAAGTCGGAGGACATTAATACAACATTCTCTGCCCTATTGAAGACTGCTTACACCCAACGTCAGATTCACCTGAACCCAACAACTGTCTTTATTGTTACGAAGCTGATGTCTATAATTTTGCCAGATCAGCCTTTCCAAGAATCACTATTAAAGGTTGTTTTTCCAATATTCCCATTGCTTTTGCAGTCAACAGGACTCTTCACCAACTATAAAGTAGAAACAGACTTCCATCAAAAATGAGAAGATGTGGTATGATTGCCAATGAGACAACTCTCCCAAAGAGACCAAATGACACAGAAATTAACAACTATAGGTCACCATACGGCCTTCAACAATTAGCAAAGCTCATACTGCATAGCTATAAAAGACCCCAAAATGGCAAACGAAAAATAAATATGTTACACAGCAACAAACGGCAACCACTGAATACCAGGCTCCTGACTTGGGACAGGCACATACAGAATTTTGTGGGGTTAAACTTATTTGAAGGCGCCAACCCTCCCAATAACCTGGAACAGTGTTGAAACAGTACAACATAAGAATAAACTATAAAAATCAGTTGAAAAAGGCTTTTCTCATCAGATGGGTACAAACAGAAATACATCTAACAAAAACACAGAGTGGACGTGGACGGCTACTTATGCATCACCACAACAAAGACACTGAGTACTGTAACAGGTCTGAGAGTATTCGCAGTTACTGACAGCTAGTTCAAAGCCAATAAAAACTAATTAAAAAAAAAATGCATCTAAGACTAAAATTTTATGACTTCATATTATATTCCGTGTTTGATGATACTATAATTGTACCTACTATGTGGAAAATGAAATATGTAAATATTATTATTTGTTCATGTTTTTTTCATATTTTATAAGTTACATTGTTTAGTGACCTTTAATTAACTGCAACACACTATAAAAACAAATTAATCACTATCAAAACAATTCCCAATTGTCCCACATTTAAACTTCCCAATTGTCCCACAAACATATTCCCGATTGTCCCACAAAATTTCATTACTTTTTTACCTGTAATTTCAAAAAGTGGGACAATCGGGAAGACACCGTTTTTGTTGATTCAGCCATGCTGGATCTATGCGATCACTCTGGTTTTGGAGATGATGCAGAATACTAAGTTGAAGACATATCATGAAACTAATTATGTGTTTTTATGACTTGCAGAAACTTTATACACCATTTTAATCATCAACTGCAAACTTTTGACATGTTATTTGCCCTTAAATTAAGAAAAGATTGGTCGAATAGTGACTTTATTTTAGATATACACTTACATATAGTTCCTTTCTAAATCAAAATTTATGATGATTTACTATTTATGAATTAATTTGAAAAAGTATTTGTACATCAATTGAATCAGTTGATAGGAATTTTGAAAGTATTATATTAGTATCTTGTGCTTGTGTAAATTATTGTTCAATGAAATGTAGGTCAACATGTGTATCAATATATCTAAGTTGATACCCACACTTTTTTAAATGGTATTACTCCAACTCTTTCCATAGGCAAGTATATATGGAAGTTTTTTTTTAAAACGACCTTGACTGGCTATACAGCCCTTGCATGGTCGGTAGGCAAGTAAGAGTCAGAATGATTATTAACTGTCATGATTTTCAAATAAGTATTAATTAGAAACAACCCCCGGCTTAATTCAAAACAGTTAATATCTCATGACCTGTTACCAGTACATAATTAAATAGACACAATTTATTATACACATTCTTGACCTCAATAGTAAACCTACAAATGTATTATTTATTTTGATCTACACTACATTAAAATATTCTGTTAATTTTGCTAGCTAGCTGAATGATTAATGAGGTGTTTTTTTTTCAAAGAAAATACTTAAAATGAAAAAAATATGTATAAAAAATGCAAGCAAATTTTATTTTACTTGTAAAATTAGTGCCATTATCATCTGACGTAAGTCAATAATCATGTTCTAATTACAGCTCTTCTATAAAAGCATGCAAAGCAAACCTTTGATCAACTTGCTTGCTATGTTTGTTTGGATGTTTGTAAACAAAAGGTAGGTAGTCTGTTTCAGTCTGTTTACTATATACTGGAATTTGATTGGACAATAAACATTAACTTCATTGCATGTCAATTTTTATTGTCTAATCAAATTCCAGTATATACAAAACAGACTTAAACTCCGCCTACCTATTGTTTACAAACATCCAATCAAACATAGCAAGCAAGTTGATCAAAGGTTTGCTTTGCATGCTTTTATAGAAGAGCTGTAATTAGTTTCAATTATCAGAAATTTGGTTGAAATATTAAACAAAATTGCATAACCCTTACCTGAGTATTTTCTGCAATAAAATTTGTTTGTTTGTTTTACAATTATATCCCATTATATTGCTATTTAACAGTAATTGGAAATATCTCAGCATTAGGTGTTTGTTTGTACATTCAGATTTGAATGAAATGTATTTTTTCTTAATGAAGAATGAACACCAATTTAGATAAAAAATAGTTATTATTTTTTTTTATTTTTGTTGTTGAGAAAGTGCACTTATAAGGCCTCTTTCTGGAAATTATCAAACCTGTCATTATTAATGGCATATAAAAAATATATTACTTGTTTGCCGATTTTCCTTTCCATTCTTGTCAAAAATAAAATCTGACAGAGTCTAAAATTGAAAGATCAGTATATATATCTATATTTGCATCAATATTGCGAAATTCCCTACCTTTACAGTAAGATTGGAAATGAAAAGAGAAAAAAATTTAGAAAAAAGTATGGTCAGAAAGAATACGAGACTAGCTATGAATATGGCTGGATCACAACATCAACGATGCTTTGATTTTTATTTTTTTTAGCCTCTAATTAATTTTATCACTAATTAAATAAAAAAAAGATGTTCATTATTTAAACTTATCACAACTATTATTAAAAAATGAAATAAGAATTATCTCCCTTTATATATGATTCCCATTTTTCACAATTTGTTTTAGTTTTTTTTTAAAGTCCTTTTTGCATAATGCTGGTTATTTTTTATTTGCCATATTGACGAAGAATACACTATCAGTAATGGAGTTCATCAGTTATTCACAGAAAGCCTCAAAGAATATCTGACAGCCATGAAATTTTATGGAAGGTTTATATTAAACCCAAAACAAAACAAAACAATTGCAGCTATCTTTGATTGCCTCTTTGCTTACAAAGTGCATTGATAAAATCTGAATCAAAGTAGCAAAACTTTTTTTGAAATAATTGTGTTTTTGTATGTAGAAATGACTGAATTTTCCAATATGCTCAATAATATTTATAATGATAGATTATTTGATATAATATTTGTAGGCATTATCCTTTCATCCTGTGATAAATCTTCATGCCTTGATAGCATTGGAAAAGTTTGCACAAACAAGTAAGTTATTTATATAAAGCTTTAGATTTCAGAAGGTGAAAGATATGGATACTTCATTCTTTGTACACAGATTTCTTATTGTCTGAAGTTTCTATCTGTCATATATCTTTTAACCTAGATGTCTTGTTATCAAATTTAAATTAGCACTCGCTGTGATATAGTCTTTTTGTGCTGATGTGGCGTAAAGCAATCAAAATCAATCAAACCTTGACTTCATTTTCATGGCTTAGTGACTACTTAAAAAACTGTTTAGTTTGTAAATATTGGTAAGTGAATTTCTCATCTATTATGAGTAATAGATTAACTGTATTTGGTATTTGTAATCCTTGCAAGGTATTCATGTTCATCTGACAGGGTTCACCTGACCTTGACCTCATTACATTGATTAGGAATCAAGGTGAAGTCTTCCTGGTCAAGTCCATATCACAGATACTATAAGCAATATGTCAACTATAAGTGATGTATGGATTGATTGTAAGGTGTACATGTTCATCTAGCAAGGTTCATCTTACTTTGACCTTATATTTCATGGTACATCAGTCAATGTTTAGTTTCATGGTTAGTTCTTTTTCTCAGATATTTTGAGTGTATTGAATGATTGTTTGGTGAACATGTCCTTCTGGCTAGGTTTATCTGACCTTGAACTCATTTTCATGGTACATTAGTCAACATTAAGTTCTTGTGGTTATGTCTGTTTCTGTATTTGGTGTATGGAATGAAATAACTAATTGATTTAGAACTTTCCTCGGTTCTGAATTATAAGCTTTCCTTTGAAAGGACCAGATTTGAAAAGGCTCAAAATTATTTCTTTATTCTCAGCAATGTCCTTGACTGAACAATATACCTTTGACCTCAGAAATGACCTTGACTGAACAATAAACATTTGACCTTAGCAATGTCCTTGACTGAACAATATAACTTTGACCTCAGCAATGTCCTTGACTGAGCAACATACCTTTGACCTCAGCAATGTCCTTGACTTAACAATATCCCTTTGACCTCAGCAATGTCCTTGACTGAACAATATACCAATATATATTTACAAGTCAGATGAGTGATGCAGTCACATAAGCCTCTTTAGTACTAGGTACGTGTACTGAACTTTTTTAAAAAATTTAGTCTGAATTTATAATACAATGTATTTAAGAAGAGGTAAATAACTTCAATATGGTTATGAGCATGACTTTTGCAATAGAAAAACAATGCGAATATGTCAAACGCAGTTATTTTATGGTAGAAAATTTAAAAAAAATATAAATCCCTGTTATGTTTGTAAGAAAGGACAGAAGCCAAAAAAAGGTATCCTCTTAAATAAGATGAGGAACAGTATTTAGTTTTACAACTATCTTAAATAAGTCAATTTTTATACGACCGCAAAAATTAAAAATTTTTTGGTCGTATATTGGTATGACGTTGGCGTCGTCGTCGTCGTCGTCCGGCGTCGTCCGAAGACACATTGGTTTTCGCACTCTAACTTTAGTTGAAGTGAATGGATCTCCATGAAATTTTACCATAAGGTTCAATACCACAAAAGGAAGGTTGCCAAAAAAGGCAAAAAACAAGCATTTTTCTAGTTTCATGACAATAACTTGTGTGTAAGTGTTTGGATATTTCTGAAATTGTACTACAAGGTTCCATATCACAAAGGGAAAGCGGGAATTGAGTTTGGGGGTAATTGCCCAAAATGTTTAGGAATTGGGGGCCAAAAAGGGGCCAAAAATAAGCATTTTTCTAGTTTCCAGACAATAACTTGTGTTCAAGTGTATGGATCTCTCTGAAATTGTACTGCAAGGTACCATACCACAAAGGGAAGGCTGGGATTGAGTTTGGGGGTGATGAATCATAAGGGGGTTCAAAGAATTTGGGGGGGGGATTTTTTTTTTGATTTTTTTCTTTTTTTTTTTCTTTTAAAATTTTCCATTTTAAGTTGGTTATTTCTGATTTATATTTAAAAGCAAATTATAATGATATGGTAGGAGATACACACCAAACAGGATGTATAAATTATTATATAATAAGTATTGTGCAAAAGCAAGAAATTTTGAATTGCACAGTATTGCACAATAGCAAGAAATCTTCAATTGCACAGTATTGCGCAATAGCAAGAAATCTTCAATTGCACAGTATTGCGCAATAGCAAGAAATATCCAATAGCACAATATTGCGCAATAGCAAGAAATTGTCAATTGTACAGTATTGCGCAATAGCAAGAAATATTTAATTGCACAGTGTTGTGCAAAAGAAGATACTTCCTATAAATTGCTTATTTCTTGACCAATTTCAATGGGGTTTTATTCTTGAATTCTTGGGGTTCTTTAATATGCTGAATCTAACCATGTATTTAGTTTTTGGATTTTGGGCCCCGTTTTTAAATTGGTCCACATTGAGGTCCAAAGGGTCCAAAATTAAACTTTGTTTGATTTCATCAAAAATTGAATTATTGGGGTTCTTTGATATGCCGAATCTAACAGTGTATTTAGATTCTTAATTTTTGGTTCCATTTTCAAATTGGTCTACATTAAGGTCCAAAGGGTCCAAAATTAAACTTAGTTTGATTTTAACAAAAATTGAATTTTTAGGGTTCTTTGATATGCTGAATCTAAACATGTATTTAGATTTTTGATTATGGGCCCAGTTTTCAAGTTGGTCCAAATCGGGATCCAAAATTAAACTTTGTTTGATTTCAACAAAAATTGAATATATGGGGTTCTTTGATATGCTGAATCTAACCATGTATTTAGATTTTTGATTTTTGGGCCCCGTTATCAACTTTGTCCACATTGAGGTCAAAAGGGTCCAAAATTAAATTTTGTTTGATTTCATCAAAAATTGAATTCTTGGGGTTCTTTGATATGCTGAATCTAACCATGTATTTAGATTTTGGATATTGGACCATAATAGGTGAATGTCCAATTTAAAATTTTTAAGTTCTTAGACCACATTCATTCTGTGTCAGAAACCTATGCTGTGTCAAATATTTAATCACAATCCAAATTCAGAGCTGTATCAAGCTTGAATGTTGTGTCCATACTTGCCCCAACTGTTCAGGGTTCGACCTCTGCGGTCGTATCAAGCTGCGCCCTGCGGAGCATTTTATTTGTGTTTTTATTTAAGTAAATAATGCTTTTAATTGTAGGTGAAAACAAAAGAACTATAGAAAATATAATAAAAAGTTTACCTAGAAATCCATTTGAGGTGCTGGAACAGGATACCAAACCAGTAACATACCCAAAAATAGAAGTTAGATTCTGTTCATCATGGTGTCAAGACAATCTATGTAATTTTTATTGGATGCACTAGACCTTTCTACTCTGAAGTCTGTTTAGATGAGGAGTTTGGATTACACAAGTTATTTATTAACTAATTAATATAGTTTATAGTTTATAGTGGATTTCAGTCACTGGAAAAATATGTAAAGGGTTGTATATAATTACATTCTATTGAAGGACAGAAAAATTCAAATCAACCATAGTGTCAGCTGATTCTTTGAATGTGTTATTTCTTTATAGGGTAGTCTTTAAAAAATATATGGGTCCTTTGAAAGTTTTATGAATTATATGTTTTCATCCAGTTTGGTAAAAAGGCAGATTTTTTTTTAATGACAATTCCATTTTGATCGTAATTTTGTGTTAAAAAAATATGTTAAAATACCACTCTTTTTATTTTTCAGTTATTCCTGAGGTTTGTATATTATGAATTATAGATTAAATTTTAAAAGTCATGCATACAGGATGGGCAGAACAGTTTTTGATATCACAAATGAATTGTGAGAGAATAGGCATGAATTCAAAATTTGATGGTTGTGCTCTGAGCTATTTAAAGTTATTTCAGAGTGACACATGCTTTTTATTTTTTTTAAATATTACCTATCCATAAATATTTTATCTTCTGCATTCTAGGTAGTGGTTTTAATTCTTGATGTCCAAATGCCTATCTGGTACAGTTAAAGTGATGTATACATATGTTACATGTTCAATTTTAAAGGCATGGAAAAGATGAGTACAATTTAAAAAAAGAGTGTGGAATTGTGAATACAAATAGATTTGCTTTACTAGAATTTTAAATACCCATTTCACTAGGTAACAAAATATATTGAAAGATCAATTGTTTGTCAATATACTTATGATACATTTATAAAGAAGAAACAGTTTATTTTTTATTTTATTTTAAGGGTAGAAAATTTGCATATGAGAAAGTGAATCTGAAAAATATTAATGCAATGCTTAATATTAATGATGTGAGTGAATACCTGAAAATATCTGCTGATGGTTTGAAGGTAAGTCATATTGAGTTACTTGCCCTGCTATACTAACTTTACAGGTGTTTCCATTTTGAACTAATATAAACAGTACCTTACTGATCCCCGGTCATCTGTTTGTTGGATACCAGCTTTTTGGTTTGAACCTGACAGGGACGATTCCAGGTGTTTTCAAATGGGTCCCTTGACCATCAAATTGGGAATTTTCATCTCAATTGGGATTTTTTTATGCATAAAATCTTTGACGAAATCACATTATTTTCCTTAAAAAATGGAAAATGTATTACGTTTTACCTGTACACTGCAACTACAGTAAGAAGTTTAACAGTCAGACTTTTGTCTTGAGGATATGGAACCAGACATATAAATAAGATATATATTTTTATAAAACAAGTTTTCCAAATATTATATAATCTGCTTTTACGAGATCAGTGCCCTATAAATTCATCAATGTTATATGAAAATTAAAATTTTGCTGTCTGCAGAGGTCTGCTTTTACTAGGCTCATTTTGACAAAAAGCATCTTTTTTATCGATCTGCTGGGCGATTTGCCTTAACGAGATCAAATACTCCAATAGCATTTTTTGTCAATTGTATCTGAGGGGTCTGCTTTTACGAGACCAAAGATTGAATCGTTGTTTATAAAATGTGATTGTTGACAGCATTCTTCTCCAGATTTTAAAACGCTTTGACGACAAACTATGAAAAATTATAGTTGCCTAAATCAGTGACCAAAACATTTCCAGAAATATCAAATTTTTTATTTATTTTTTTTTCCTGAATTGGGAATTAATGTTCCAATAAATTTTTTGGGGTCCCCCGTCCATTTTTAGGGCCGCTCAGCGGCCCTCAACTATAATGTAGAATCATCGCTGAACCAATTGAACCTACATAAAGCGAAGCACCCCAGACCTGAGGTCACAGTTTGAAAAGTGTGTCTTCCATGCATACTTAACCCGATTAAACAATTTTGTGGTAAAATTAATGATGAATGATCTCCCCTTGCATGCCAACACTGTTTTAAGGAATGATGATGAGAAAACACTTAGATTATTATGAAAATTTAATTTGAAAATTGCACTCAATTATTGTGACTAACTGAAGTCCATCTGATTTTATTCCCCTAATTTTTATACACCAATTTTTATATGTGAGGATTATATAGTAATTTCGTGTCCATCCGTGTGTTGTTCATGATTCTGACAATAGTTTGACTCACCAAATTATATTTTAAAATAATTTTAAAGAAACACTCTACAGTAAAACCTGTAAATTACTAAATGGTGAAAGAAGCAAGAAAGGTTTTGTAGCAAATACAAGAAAGCTTTCTTGTGTTTATTGCAACAGTAATATTGTATTGATATTTTTATGTTGTAGTCCAGAAGTGATGCTTCATCATTTGAGAGTGTCCGATGTACATTCCAAGTTGACTCTGGTGTGTGGTATTATGAGGTCTATATAACTACTGCTGGTGTGATGCAGATAGGATGGGCAACAAAAGACAGTAGTTTTCTTAATCATGTGAGTAAATATTGTGCAAAGAAAGGGGGGTCATAGAAAAAGCAATTATAATGATTTAAAACCTATTATTTTCTTAACATAGTTTTTAGTGAAATAAGCAAAGAAGTTCATTAGCAATGGTTGAATTTTTAAATTTTGTGTTTCTCATTTATCAATAACTATAAATGATGAATTTATTGCAGATATATTTTTGTGTATAAACTCTTATTTCGAAAATTTGCCAAAAAAAATTGTTGCTGATATTTCTCTGTTTACAGTAATAATAGATCTTTTATGACATCAATCCATTACTATCGCACACACTTTTTTTCAAAGGAATAATCTAAGACAAAATATTTGAATTCAAGTGAATAACAACAGTTTTCTTTACTATCATAAGAAAAAATAAAATTATTTGATAAGGCGTCTTTGCTAATTTTCAGTTTTTGTTTTGAATTGTTAACATTTAATAATATTAGATTTTATGGTGGTAGTCTCATATCATTTTAGTAATGAAACTGTCAATTGAACATAAAGTTTCTATCCATGATCAGTAATTAGCATTTATTTTATATACACAATGCTCTGTTGACTCACAATCTCTGCCAGTTTGTAAAAGGCTCTATGAAGAATTTTAAAATACTTTGTATCTGAGCTGATTAACTGACTGTTTAGCCTACACGCTTATGTTTTGCCGGTACACAAAGATATTTGCATCTGGAAGTTTAGCAATCAAACAATCGTTCAGTTAAAGTAATGCAATGCTAGTCTAGTTTGTAAAACATTTACCTGTTCCAGAGCTAAATAGCTTAAAAAAATGAGGACATAAAAGTTATCCTTTGTTGGATAGATTTGTCCAAGTTCACAATCATGTAAACTTACCATTGTATTGTTTTTAGCTCACCTGGCCCGAAGGGCCAAGTGAGCTTTTCTCATCACTTGGCGTCCGTCATCCGTCGTCGTCGTCCAAAGCATTTAGAGTAAATCTGACATAGGGTAAAACTGATTATCAGGTCAAGATCTATCTGCCCTGAAATTTTCAGACAAATCTGACGACCTGTTGTTGGGTTGCTGCCCCTGAATTGGTAGTTTTAAGGAAACCTTTGTTGGATAGATTTGTCCAAGTTCACAATCATGTAAACTTACCATTGTATTGTTTTTAGCTCACCTGGCCCGAAGGGCCAAGTGAGCTTTTCTCATCACTTGGCGTCCGTCATCCGTCGTCGTCGTCCAAAGCATTTAGAGTAAATCTGACATAGGGTAAAACTGATTATCAGGTCAAGATCTATCTGCCCTGAAATTTTCAGACAAATCTGACGACCTGTTGTTGGGTTGCTGCCCCTGAATTGGTAGTTTTAAGGAAATTTTGCAGTTTTTATACGACCGCAAAAAAATTTTGAGGTCGTATATTGGTATGACGTTGGCGTCGTCGTCGTCGTCGTCGTCGTCGTCCGGTGTCGTCGTCCGGCGTCGTCGTCCGAATACACAATGGTTTTCGCACTCTAACTTTAGTTTAAGTGAATGGATCTCTATGAAATTTTACCATAAGGTTCAATACCACAATAGGAAGGTGGGGATTGATTTTGGGGGTTATGGTACCAACAGTTAAGGAATTAGGGGCCAAAAAGGGGCCGAAAATAAGCATTTTTGTAACTTCCAGACATAACTTGTGTGTTAGCATATGGATCTCTTTGACATTGTACCACAAGATTCCATATCACAAAGGGTCAATGCTGGGATTGATTTTGGGGTTAATTGCCTCAAAATTTTAGGAATAAGGGGCCAAAAGGGGGCAAAAAACAAGCATTTTTCTAGTTTCATGACAATAACTTGTGTGTAAGTGTATGGATCTTTCTGAAATTTTACTACAAGGTTCCATTACACAAAGGGAAAGCTGGAATTGAGTGTTGTGGTAATTGCCCAAAACGTTTAGTAATAAGGGGGCTAAATAGGGGTTTAAAATAAGCATTTTTTAGTTTCTAGACAATAACTTGTGTTCAAGTGTATGGATCTCTCTAAAATTGTATTACAAGGTACCATACCACAAAGGCAAGGCTGTTATTGAGCTTGGTTTGGGGGGAAAGGGGGGTGGGGGTGATGAATCATAAGGGGGGCGGGGGTAAAAAAAGGGGTAATTTTTTTTTTTCCTTTTTTTTTTGTTTAAAATTTACATTTTAAGTTAGTTATTTTTTATCACGAAGAGAAAGTAGGAATTGAGTTTTGGGGTTAATTGCTCAAACATTTATGAATAAGGGGCCAAATATTGGTCGAAAATAAGGATTTTTTTAGTGTGCTCTAATGTTTAAGGAATAAGGGGAAAAAAGGTTAAAAAACAAGGGTTTCCATTTTAATAGACAAATAATTGAGTAAAGAACATTATTTAAAAGCAGTGTAAGGTTGGTAATTCAAACTCATTTAAATATCTCATCTACACTGCTTTTAAATTATGTAAATTGGAAATTTGCCAATAACTTTATTGTTAATAAATGCATTGGAAATTTGCCAACAATTTTAGTGTAATAAACTTCATTGGAAATTTGCCAATATAAAATTTTGCTGATGAAGGTTTTTTGTTTACCTTTAGCCTTGACTATGAAGTCATTTTCTATTTTTATAGCCTTATGATGTAGTTGAATTATTTAATACTTTTATGATGTGTTTAAATGGGGTTTTATCATGTTTATGGTTGCAAATTTATTGTTTTAGTATAATAAACTCCATTTAAAATTTGCCAATAAAAAAATTTTTTGTTTATTTTTAGCTATGATTATGATGTCATTTTCTATTTTACTTTTATGGTTGCAAAGAAATTTTTATTTTTAGATATTACTGTTAAATGATGCTGATTAAGGTTTTTGCTATGTTTAGCCATGACTATGATGTCATTTTCTATTTTAATATCTGTTATGATGTATTTAAATGGGCTTTTATGGTTACAAAGGAATTTTATTTTTAGATATTACTATAAAATGTTGCTGATGCTGATTAAGGATTTTGTTTATTTTTAGCCATGACTATGATGTCATTTTCTATTTTAATACCTTTATGATGTAATTTCCATTTTTAGATATTACTGTTAAATGATGCTGATTAAGGGTTTTTTGCTATGTTTAGCCATTACTATGATGTCATTTTCTATTTTAATATCTTTATGATGTATTTAAATGGGCTTTTATGGTTACAAAGGAATTTTATTTTTAGATATTACTTTAAATGTTGCTGATTAAGGATTTTTGTTTATTTTTAGCCATGACTATGATGTCACTTTCTATTTTAATACCTTTATGATGTATTTAAATGGACTCCCATGTATTTAGATTTTTGATTATTTATACATGTTACCAAATTGGTCCACATTGAACAAAAACGGTCCAAATTTCAACCTTATTACATTACATCAAACATTGAATTCTACATATTCTTTGATATATTGAAATTAACAAACAATTTAGTTTATGGAGATTCCACCATAATAGGTAAATTAAATTTTTTCCAGTTCTTACACCACATTCATCCTGTGTCAGAAACCTATGCTGTGTCAAATATTTAATGACAATCCAAAGTCATAGCTGTATCAAGCTTGAATTTTGTGTCCATACTTGCCCCAACTGTTCAGGGTTCGACCTCTGCGGTCGTATCAAGCTGCGCCCCAGCGAAGCATTTTATTGGTTATTATCTTGAATATTATTATAGATAGAGATAAACTGTAAACAGCAATAATGTTCAGCAAAGTAAGATCTACAAATAAGTTGTCATGACCTAAATTGTCAGTTGACCCCTTTAGGAGTTATTGCCATTATTAGTCAATTTTTAACAATTTTTTGTAAATTTTTGTAATCTTTTACAAAAATCTTCTTCTCTGAATTTACTGAGACAAATTTAACCATACTTGGCCATAATCACTATTAGGGTATTTAGTTTAAAAAATTTGTCCGATGACCCCGCCTTCCAAACCATCATGGCCGACTTGGTTAAAAATAGAACATAGGGGTAAAATGCAGTTTTTGGTTTATATCTCTGAAACTAAAGCATTTAGAGCAAATCTGACAGGTGGCAAAAATGTTCATCAGATTTAGATTTATCTGCCCTGAAATTTTCAGACGAATCCGACAACCCGTTGTTGGGTTGCTGCCCCTGAGTTAGTAATTTTACAAAAATTTTGCAGTTTTTTGTTATTATCTTAGATATCATTATAATATCTAATACTATTAATTATGATTTTAACCTTATTTTACATGATTTCCAAAGCATCAGTAAATATAGGTGAGCGACACAGGCTCTTGAGAGCCTCTAGTTTCCTTATAAGACAATAATTCCAAACAGTATGATTTCTATTTCTATGTATGGTTTATTTATAGGAAGGACAAGGTATTGGAGATGACGAGTATTCAATGGCATATGATGGATGTAGACAGTTGATTTGGTTTAAAGCTGAGAGTCGACCAATTCATCAGAAGTGTTGGAGTCCAGGTAAAAATCTTAATAATAGCTTTTGTGAATTCATCTTTTAGCATCATCTTTTTATACCCCCATTCTAAAAGTTTGGTTTATATTGCATTCACTGGTCTGTTCATCTCTCTGTGTCGTCCAACAAATATTTTCATCATACTTTTCTCAGAACATCTTCATATTTGGTCAACAGCTTGACAGTGATGAGTTGTAATGTGTGTGCAGTTTATGGATCTATTAGACACATACTACCTGTTTGCAGATACTTCAAATTTTTCAATATTTTGAATGAACTAAAATTTTAAGTCACACATTTCTCCATTACTACTGAACAGAATGACATGATATTTAGCCATCAGCTTGACATTGATGTCTTGTTAAGTGTTGTTGTCAGAAATCTACTTCCTGTTTGCTGATATTTTGAATTTTTCAACATTTTGAATGAAAACAAATATTTTTTTCACACTTTCCCCCAAAACTACTGAACAGAATGACTTCATATTTGGTCACAGCTCACAGTGATGAGTTTTAATGTGTAAGCCCTTTTTGGATCTTTCTGATACCACTTCCTGTTTTCCGATACAAAGCATTACTAGTAGGAGTATGGTTACCCCAACTATGCTTGTCATGAGTGTTGCTAACATACAACTTTTCTCTATTGTTGCATACATTATCAACATCAATTCCTATGCAAGTGTTTGAAGCACATTGTTTCGCTTCAATTAACCACTGACATAATTGATTACAGTTTATTCCACTGGAAGACTTTTGAATTTCCCCATTCAATGACTGCCTTAGAACTTTTACTTGAACAGCCATGAAAAAGACCATTTCCCAAAATGTAATTATGATAGACCATTGACATTTGATATACAGTTATATATTATTAATTAAAATTGCTAAATTTCTAATGGTTTGATCAGTTGTATAGTTGAATATATGTACTATTGACTGTTTCATTGCATTATTGTATATGAGCAAAGCAGTTGTAGAATCAAAGAGACAAAATTGCATGTGAGTTTTAAGCAGTTTATAAGGCCAAAAACTGAGTCATTTGTCAAGGATTTTTTATTTGTTTTTCAAATGTTTTGTTTTCTGATAAGGTGTGATCATGAAAAAGTTCTGATGATAAAACATGGATTTTGATGTTTGGTATGTTATTGCACTTAAGCATCCATGCATCTCAATTTTAGATCACTATATGAGGCTGACCCTCTTAATCATATTTTTGTGAATTGGAAATTAATGCATTGTTTAAAGGTAATCTCTTTAATAAAGCATGTTCATATTTTGTTTCATAAGCATCTAAAATATTATTTTCTTGAACTTTGTGAGGTCTGACCTCTTTTGAATTTGAAGTACTTTAATTATTCCTTCAGTTTTGCAGACTAGAATAATCTACGTGTTTTAAATATGCTTATACATTATTATTACTCATTAATAGCTTTGTAGGTAATATTTTAAACACTAATTAAAATGTTCGTTGAATCCACAGTGTTGTTTATTGAACTTGTTGTGCCTGTATCAAGTCAGGCTAACTGGACTATATGTTATTTCTCTGACATTGCTTGTGGGTCTATTTTTCTCAGAGGAGTCAGATATTGGTGGTTGGTGTGGTCTGTTTACTCTGTTATAGTGTCCAGTATTTTTGGATTTTCTTGTTGTCCTTTTTATGGATCATGTATTCAAAAACTTTTCATCTTTACACATATTTCTGTTTGATCTGTTTATTTCAAATAGAAATTTTGAAAGAAAAAATGGAATGGTAATTTATTTTTACTTTATAACTTTTTAAGTTCCATTTGGTTGTTTTTGTTCCTAAAAAGTGAAATGAAAGAGATATTGAATATTTTCATACAATTAATTTACAGAAAAATTCAATTTTAATCTTGATAGTTTAAATTACTAAATCAGCTGTTAGACTTACTCCAAATATATTGATGAACTCATTTAAAGGGGTTTATTTAAGTTTCTATGCCTTTTTATACGACCGCAAAAATTAAAAATTTTTTGGTCATTTATTGGTATGACGTTGGCGTCGTCGTCGTCGTTGTCGTCGTCGTCGTCGTCGTCGTCTGGCGTCGTCCGGCGTCGTCCGAAGACACATTGGTTTTCGCACTCTAACTTTAGTTTAAGTGAATGGATCTCCGTGAAATTTTACCATAAGGTTCAATACCACAAAAGGAAGGTTGGGATTGATTTTGGGGGTTATGGTACCAACAGTTAAGGAATTAGGGGCCAAAAAGGGGCCAAAAATAAGCATTTTTGTAACTTCCAGACATAACTTGTGTGTTAGTGTATGGATCTCTTTGACATTGTACCACAAGGTTCCATATCACAAAGGGAATGCTGGGATTGATTTTGGGGGTAATTGCCTCAAAATTTTAGGAATAAGGGGCCAAAAAAGGGGCAAAAAACAAGCATTTTTCTAGTTTCATGATAATAACTTGTGTGTAAGTGTATGGATCTTTCTGAAATTGAACTACAAGGTTCCATATCACAAAGGGAAAGCTGGAATTGAGTTTGGGGGTAATTGCCCAAAACGTTAAGGGAATAAGGGGCCAAAAAGGGGCCAAAAATAGCATTTTTCTAGTTTCCAGACAATTACTTGTGTTCAAGTGTATGGATCTCTCTGAAATTGAACTGCAAGGTACCATACCAAAAAGGGAAGGCTGGGATTGATTTTGGGGGTAATTGCCTCAAAATTTTAGGAATTAGGGGCCAAAAAGGGGAAAAAACAAGCATTTTTCTAGTTTCAGGACAATAACTTGTGTTCAAGTGTATGGATCTCTCTGAAATTGTACTGCAAGGTTCCATACCACAAAGGGAAGGCTGGGATTGAGTTTGGGGGTGATGAATCATAAGGGGTTTCAAAAAATTTGGGGGGGGGATTTTTTTTTTTCCTTTTTTTTTCTTTTAAAATTTTCCATTTTAAGTTGGTTATTTCTGATTTATATTTAAAAGCAAATAATAATGATATGGTAGGAGATACACACCAAACAGGATGTGTAAATTATTATATAATAAGTATTGTGCAATAGCAAGAAATTTTCAATTGCACAGTATTGCACAATAGCAAGAAATCTTCCATTGCACCGTATTGCGCAATAGCAAGAAATCTTCAATTGCACAGTATTGTGCAATAGCAAGAAATATCCAATAGCACAATATTGCGCAATAGCAAGAAATTGTCAATTGTACAGTATTGCGCAATAGCAAGAAATATTCAATTGCACAGTATTGTGCAAAAGAAGATACTTCGTATAAATTGCTTATTTCTTGACCAATTTCAATGGGGTTTTATTCTTGAATTCTTGGGGTTCTTTAATGTTCTGAATCTAACCGTATATTAAGTTTTTGGTTTTTGGGCCCTGTTTTTAAATTGGTCCACATTGAGGTCCAAAGGGTCCAAAATTAAACTTTGTTTGATTTCATCAAAAATTGAATTATTGGGGTTCTTTGATATGCGGAATCTAACCGTGTATTTAGATTCTTAATTTTTTGTTCCGTTTTCAAATTGGTCTACATTAAGGTCCAAAGGGTCCAAAATTAAACTAAGTTTGATTTTAACAAAAATTGAATTCTTAGGGTTCTTTGATATGCTGAATCTAAACATGTATTTAGATTTTTGATTTCAGGCCCAGTTTTCAAGTTGGTCCAAATTGGGGTCCAAAATTAAACTTTGTTAGATTTCAACAAAAATTGAATATATGGGGTTCTTTGATATGCTGAATCTAACCATGTATTTTGATTTTTTATTTGTGGACCCCATTATCAAATTGGTTCATATTGAGGTCAAAAGGGTCCAAAATTTAACTTTGTTTGATTTCATCTAAAATTGAATTATTGGGGTTCTTTGATATTCCAAATCTAACCGTGTATTTAGATTTTTAATTTTGGGTCCTGTTTTTTAAATTGGTCTACATTAAGGTCCAAAGGGTCCAAAATTAAACTTAGTTTGATTTTAACAAAAATTGAATTCTTGGGGTTCTTTGATATGCTGAATCTAAACATGTGTTTAGATTTTTGATTATGGGCCCAGTTTTCAAGTTGGTCCAAGATAGGGTCCAGTATTTAAACTTTGTTTGATTTCAACAAAAATTGAATATATGGGGTTCTTTGATATGCTGAATCTAAATTTGTATTTAGATTTTTGATTATGGGCCCAGTTTTCAAGTTGGTCCAAATTGGGGTCCAAAATTAAACTTTGTTTGATTTCAACAAAAATTGAATATATGAGGTTCTTTGATATGCTGAATCTAACCATGTATTTAGATTTTTTATTTCTGGACCCCGCTATCAAATTGGTTCATATTGAGGTCAAAAGGGTCCAAAATTAAATTTTGTTTGATTTCATCAAAAATTGAATTATTGGGGTTCTTTGATATGCCAATCTAACTGTGTTTTTAGATTTTTAATTTGGGTCCCGTTTTTTAAATTGGTCTTCATTGAGGTCCAAAGGGTCCAAAATTAAACTTAGTTTGATTTTAACAAAAATTGAATTCTTGGGGTTCTTTGATATGCTGAATCTAAACATGTGTTTAGATTTTTGATTTTTGGCCCAGTTTTCAAGTTTGTCCAAGTTGGGGTCCAAAATTAAACTTTTTTTGATTTCAACAAAAATTGAATATATGGGGTTCTTTTATATGCTGAATCTAACCATGAATTTAGATTTTTTATTTGTGGGCCCCGCTATCAAATTGGTTCGTATTGAGGTCAAAAGGGTCCAAAATTAAACTTTGTTTGATTTCATCAAAAATTAAATTATTGGGGTTCTTTGATATTCCAAATCTAACCGTGTATTTAGATTTTTAATTTTAAGTCCCGTTTTTTAAATTGGTCTACATTAAGGTCCAAAGGGTCCAAAATTAAACTTAGTTTGATTTTAGCAAAAATTGAATTCTTGGGGTTCTTTGATATGCTGAATCTAAACATGTGTTTAGATTTTTGATTATGGGCCCAGTTTTCAAGTTTGTCCAAGTTGGGGTCCAAAATTAAACTTTGTTTGATTATAACAAAAATTGAATATATGGGGTTCTTTGATATGCTGAATCTAACCATGTATTTTGATTTTGGACATTGGACCATAATAGGTAAATTAAAAAAATTCAAGTTCTTAAACCACATTCTTTCTGTGTCAGAAACCTATGCTGTGTCAAATATTTAATAACAATCCAAATTCAGAGCTGTATCAAGCTTGAATGTTGTGTCCATACTTGCCCCAACTGTTCAGAGTTCGACCTCTGCGGTCGTATCAAGCTGCGCCCCAGCGAAGCATTTTATTCAGATTTGAATTATTGTTTGAATAATGTACACTTATTCACCTTCTAATGTCCAGTCAATTTACATATGGATTAATACCACTACCCACTTTAACATTCTGTTAAAACCCACAAAGGGATTAACTTGGTTCATACCTGTTAAAGTGCATCACAACTGATCTAAGAGCTTTGAATTTACAGGTGTATTTATTTATCAAAGCTAATTGTAATTACTTCAAAAGATTTAACAATTTAAGAATTGGAAGCTGTTGAACCGTATATTTTACAGCTTACTATTAATCCACTAGTAAAATGAACAATGTCTGATAAAAGGACGTAATAAGATTAATTTTCAAGTATGTCTTTAGGGTTTCAAACTCTCATTAGGGGATCATTTCTGCAGGAAAACTGTTAATCACATATCAATTGTATAATCTTCTTTCAAACATAAATAATATAACTGTTGATATTTAAATTCGGTCCAGTACAATTTACCTTATGGCGCAGATTTACCGAATTTAAGAAAAAGAGATAATATGCACCGTTACAAATAAAACCAGATTTGTGTTCCCAAGTCTGTTAGATTTTTATGCCCCCGCCGTAGCGGAGGGGGTATTGAGTTTTACCCTTGTCCGTCTGTACGTCCCAAAATTGGTTTCCGTTCTCTAACTTTAGTTTGCCTCAACCAAATGTTATGAAACTTATACACAATGCTTAATACCACTAAACACAGATCAAGTTTGAATTTTGTTGGCGTCACTTTTACTGTTATGCCCCTTTACAAATGGAAAAATTGCTGATTTTTTCATTTCCGTTCTCTAACTTTAATTTGCCTCAACCAAATGTTATGAAACTTATACACAATGCTTATTACCACTAAACACAGATCAAGTTTGAATTTTGTTGGCGTCACTTTTACCGTTCTAGAGTTATGCCCCTTTACAAATGGAAAAATTGCTAAATTTTTCGTTTCCGTTCTCAAACTTTAGTTAGCCTCAACTAAATGTTATGAAACTTATGTGCAATGCTTATTACCACAAAACACAGATCAAGTTTGAATTTTGGTGGCCTCACTTTTACTGTTTTAGAGTTATGCCCCTTTTACAAATGGAAAAATTGCCAAATCCTCCTTTTTATTCTCTAACTTAAGTTTGCTTCTACCAAATGTTATGAAACTTATACACAATGCTCATTACCACAAAACTCAGATCAAGTACAAATTTGGGTAGTGTCACTTTTACCGTTCTTGAGTTATGTCCCTTTATAAGGTTATATGCAAGCGGGGGCATCATCTGTGTCCCATGGACACATTCCCCATTTATTTAATATTTAAAGATATTAAAAAAATTCTACAGACTCTGTGAATAAATTCATTGTGGAACAAATTCTTTTTCATCTGTGATAATGTTTCCATTTGCTTTGAAACCACACTATTCACTATTTTTGTCAAATTATTTCCATATCTTTTTTACAACATATAAACAATATTATTCATGAGCTAAATATATTTCTGTTCATCATGGCTTTGAAATCTAGAATAATGTTTGACTTTTTGACATGTGATGTTTATGGTAATTATTATCATTATCTATCTTTTGTTACTTGTAAAACTTTTGAAAAAAAAATGTTTTGGATTTAAAAGCTAGGTAACCAGTCAGATTATTTGTAAAAAAAATGAGAACAATATAGTCCAATGACTTCATAACAATTAAGACATTTAAAATTTTACAGTGATAATTAACGATTATAATGAATTAGTAGCTTCCTTATTGAGTCATTGTCAGCTTTTGTTGTGAAACATTCCACATGTAGATTTATGGCGGAGTTCCTGAATGCTAAGTAAAACTTGTGGATGATCTTTATTTGATAATAAATACACATGTTTTGTGTTACCCCCCTGTAATTTATGATATAGATATTCTTTATATACTGTATATGAAGTGTGAATGGTGACTAAATTGTATTATGGTATAAACCTAACCTTCATGGTTTATCACAATTTATTATCCCAAACCACTCCAAAAAATAAGCAACAGTTATCAATTCTTTGGATTCATTTATTTTTCATTGGAATCAATTTTTGTGGATTGAGAAAAAATTGAATTTTTGTAGATACTTGATGCATGGTTAATATTTTGCATACAAGTCTATAGAAATTTGTATTTTGTTGAACACTTAAATCTGTTGTTCACCTTTGCCCATGAAATCCTTGAAAATGAGTACCTCAAGAATAGCTATGAATTCACAGAATGTGTATATGTGTTGCACATCCTATTTTTAGAGACAATTTTTTTTTCTAGGAGCTTTTGAATGCATTTGGTTTTTTTTTCATTGTGAATTAATTAAGAAATTTTTCATTAAATAAATTGATTCATTTTATAACTGTAGGAAATGTGATGATGTTTTCATTTAAACAGAAATTGTGTAATCAATTTTACCCTTGAATAGTTCATCTAATTTCCGGCATTCTTTCCAATTATAATTTCCTTTCAAATTGTTCAATATCAGTTGTATCAAATTAGCCTGTAAGGTTTTGATCATTGTAATTTTTTTCTGTATGATTCGTATTAAGAAAACTTGTACTTTTGCATAAAGTAGAAGTTATTTAAATTTTTATCAAAGTCTCTCACATTAAATAATAACCATTAAGTTTCAGAAAATTTTATTAAATACAAAAACAGTATATCATGGAAGGTATACAAACATTTTATTTGATAAAAAACATACATAACTTTCTGAAGAATAGACGAGGATCCCTTGGACCTGTTTTTAAATAATTCACAATATGAAGTGGTATGTTTTCTTGGAGGTGTTTTTAACACCGATTTCAGAGATATTGGATATTTCATTGTGTCCAGTTTTTATTTGTGAAGAAACCAATGTACCAGAAGATAACCACTAAGGCACTAACCTTCTGCAGGCTAAATGACAAACCTCGTCAATTAAGATTAAAGTCGTGAAGTATGATGAATGGCATTTAAATGCATAGTCATAGAATGGAAGTTTAGAATTTTTTGGTCAGGTTGCTAGGTCTTTGATGTCATAATAGTTTTAAAGCTTTATATATAATTATACAAAATACTAGAATATATCAGTAAAAAGAATTAGAATGGCTTTAAACAACCATTTTTAATGCAAAATTAAAAAGGTGTCATAGTTTAATCAGAACAGTTACAATTTAGGAAACCTCATACAAAACAGAAAAGCATTACTGCAATTTAAAAACCAGTTTAGGAAAATGCAGACATGGAAAACACCTGATTAAATCTTTTAAACCTTGTAGGGTATTAAATGCTCTGTGATTTAAAAGTTTTTGGCCTGAATAATTTTTATGCACTGCCACGAAAGTGGAAGGAGCATATGTTTTTACCCTTGTCTATCTATCCATCACTTAGGCCTATATTTTGTTTTTTCAAGTGAACTTTCTTACGCTCTGTGCATAGGTTCATTACTCAAAAACTGACTGTTGAAACCCACTTTTATAGTACAACATTTTTGGAACATTTGAGTGACTATAATCCTCATTTGATGCTCCAAGATGACTGTAGTTAAATTATACAAAAAGTTCATATCTCAAAAGCACATTGTCATATGTTATTGTTAATCATACTTTAACACTGCAGTCTACTTGTATCTGATATCACCCCTTGTTTCTGGTGGGGTTCATTTTGCTCAGTCTGTAGTTTTTTTTGTAGTATTTTGTAGAGTGTTGTTTGTCTTTTCATCATTTTAATTTGTCCCTTGTATTGTCTGTCTTCGACTAATGGTTCTAAATATCTCTGGCTACTTTTTTGTATAGTTCTGTATCACAAGGGTTATAATATTCACTACCAGAAATATTTTAGGAGCATTGAAGCCAACTTCAATGAAAATGTGCAACTCAATCAAAAGTTGCATTAAATTCAATTAATCAAGGAACAATTCATCAAAAATTCCTTCTCTCGTTTCTATGTATGTCTTAATATAAGGGCTTATAGGAATGAATGTTTGAGATAATATTTCTTCAGAAAAGTTCATTGTTAACCACTTTTTGATATGTTTCAATATTTTATTAAAGTGAGCATCTACCCTGGACTTTAGCATAAAGCATAGAATAAAAATTGAACAAAGACACCATTGTATTACAAAATTATTTATTTAGATACATCTTTTTACACCAAATAAAATGAATGTGTGCATGGACATGTATAAATGGTTTGAGTCTTTTGAAAAATAAACCTTGATTATGGGGAAGTAAGGACAAGTTTATATTTCTTTGATCAACACACCACAAAACAGTTGTCAATATGAATAGTTTTAAATAAAAAAAAAATAATTTGGCATTGATTTGAAGCACCTGAACCCATATGAATGAATGATATGACGATGAAATAAAATCCATCTGGATTTAAACATGATATTTTTCCATTTTTAGATGAAAGTAAAATCGAAGAAAAAAAAACAGTTGTCCAAACTTGATAAGATATTCTTTGAATAACTCTGTTCTCATATATCACTATAGTACAAAAACATACAAATGTAAGTCTATTGTTTGTATTTATATAATAAACACATAATTTTACATGTTTTCCTACTGCAAGATATATTGAAACTAACCTCACAGCTTTTGTATAATCCAAATTTATGTAAGAATAATAGCACTGATATTGTTTCGGTCCATATCGGGAAATTATATTGGAAACTTTTATGCCATAATTTCTACTCCATCCATTTGTTCATCCTGCATTTTAGTTTTCTTTTGATCTATTTCAAATTGTTCATATTTTGTTCTTTCCCTTTGCATTCTCTGAACTAATTGTCTCATTTTGAATGTTGGAGTATGTCTCAGTGCCCTATTGGCAGATTTGAGTGGAATGTGCTTTTTTTCAGAATTTGTTAAGTCCAGATGTGTCATTTGTTCAATAATAAGTTTACTAGGTGTTTGGCAACGTTGAATTTCACCTCGCTGTACTGATGTTTTGATGTACTTCCACAAATCTTGAGGTTTCTTCGGTTCAGTTTTGACCGTATATGGAGATTTACTTCTTTGTGAAAGAGAAGACTTTGATCTTTCGGGTTCCTTACTTTTTGGTTCTGGTTCACTTACTGCTAACCTGTCTTTGTCAGTTTCCTTTCTCGTATTTGATGAAACAGACTTGGCAAAGATGCTCATTAACATGCTTGCCTTTGACATTTGTGGAGCAGTTTTTATCTCAGGTAGAGGAATTTCCAGTTCGTCATCAGATTCAATATCAGATCCATTGGTGTTTAAATTTCCAAAAAAATCATCAATTTTGCGTTGCAGTTGTTGTTGTTCTTTTTTCAGGTCTTCTTCAGTTGGTCTTTTTGAGGTATTTGATGACTGAAAGCTTGCTACTGTTCTTGGTGTATCATAACCATTTTTGACTGAGTTTGCATATTTGTTTCCAAACACAACTGATCGCAGTTTGTCAATATCTATGTACTCCTCTTCATCATCATCCTCATATTCATCATCACTATCCTGCCAAACGGATTGTCTTCGCTGCATTCCAGGATGAAATGTTTTTGCTCTTTGTATTGGCTCTGGAGTTTTAATGTTTAAAGCAAATTTAACTTTTGATTTATCACTTAATGACGGAAGCTTAGTTGAATTGTCTTCAAAATTCAATGATACAGAACTTTTCATAGGTGGTGCAGACCTAGAATCTCTTCTTTGCCACAGTAAACTTTTTCTGCTTTTAGCAGACGAAACTGATGTACCGGGAGTTGATATATCTCCTCTCCGACTTCTGTCTTCTTGTCGACTTTGTACTTGTCGACGATGATAGATTTGACGAGCTGCTCTGACAACAGCATTTGGATGTAAATCATTGACAGTTCGTCCTCTTAAAGGAAACTGTTGTTTCCTATCTAAATAGTGTGACTGTGATACAACGCCAAGTCGTTTTGTTTGATTTTTTAACTGCATTTCATCGTAACCAAAATCTTTATAGGGTTCATATCGTTTAGCATTTTCTAGATCTGTTTTTCGCTTATTGATGTCATAGACTTTTGCTTCATATCTTAGTTGACTTGCATTGTCATGAATTTGCTTCAATTTGTAACTTATATCCCTCTGAAGTTTAGTGTTTTTGATTGAGAGATGGTTTTCGCACACATTATTTTTGACACTTGTTAATTTTTCTGTCAATGACACTTTTTTGGCATTGTCCATTGCTTCTTCCTTCATGGTTTGAAATGGATTGGACACCAGCTGTTCCGAGTCCATAATGAAGAAGTTACCTGTAAAAAAATGAGATATAGTATATATACATATGCATTATCTTTGATTTGAAATATCATCCCATTGAAAAATAATTACGAATTTACAATACCTAATTAAAAAATAGTAATGCATTCAAAATATCATTCCATTGAAAAATAGTAACAGCTGTTTGAGTATTTGTCATATTTGTTTGTAATTTTTACATCCATTTTCAGTGTCATCCAAAAAGATTCTCTGTCATTCTACATTCAGTTAAAGTTTAGTTAAAGTACTATTACTGTGAGATGTTATATCCATATTTACACAAAGTTGTTATTTACTATCCTGCAACTGTAAACAAGACACAAAAACATAAAAGCCAATTCATCTGTTGAAAATGGTAAATAAAATAAGCTCAATTTACTGTTAGAAGATTTTCAATTAAGGCATTTATTTCATAAACTGTATCCTTATAGTGTTTAAAAATATTACATAGACTCAGAGGATTATTGCATACACCCAATTAGGGAAGGATCAATATTTTAGTTAAATTAAGATCTTTGTGGAAATAAATGATTGAATTTTATTATTCTTTTTAAATCTTGAATTTCATTTTATGTTCAGTTGTTTATGTATAATTTATAAGCTTAGAAAAACATAACTTAATACCTTTTTAGAAGGTGTTGATTGTTTACATTTAATTAATATCAGTTAATTAAGTTTTAGACTCGTTAAAAAGAAATTCTGATGGTTTTTTTTCACAAGTTAATGAAGTTATATTTCAGCACTGACTTTCCATATAAAGTGGTTTGGAGATTGCATGTAGGCCAAAATGTTTTCTTTTACTTAAATATGAAGATAAGGAGATGTGGTATGATTGCCAATGAGACAGCAATCTACCAAAGACCAAATGACGAAGATGTAAGCAACTATAGGTGACGGTATAGCCTCATTAATGAGCAAAACACATACCATATAGTAAGCTATAAAAGGCCTCAACATGACCATAGAAGACATGGTAGAGGGCAAAGATCATACACTGTCATAAATTTAAAGAAATAGAAATATGGAAAAGGTTTTTACATGCTTAAATAAATAGCTCATAATATATGTAAACAATCCTTTTTTTTTTAAATAAAATAGATTAATGTTAATTTCAAGTAAAATGTTTTATTCTAAAAAGGTTTCACATCAACTTCTGACATACTTGCTTCCTTTTTAGCATCGGACACTCTCTTTTTATCCTCTTCATCAATTTCTGATGTATCCATTTTGATTATTGTTGTCATATGTGTCATGAATATAACAAAATTTAATGCCTCTTTAACATGGCAACAGATATTTAAGTAAATGACAGATTCCAATTATGAGCAGCCAGAAGTTTTGACAGCATGCTATCAGAATATCAAAACATGTAGCTAGAAACATCCTAGAAAATAAAAACTGAAACACACGGTAGACTTCTAGTTAGACTTGGTTTAATCGGTTTTAATATATTAATGCCTTAAAATTTAGATTACTAAGACTTTTTTTACAATTTAACAAAGAAACACAATAAGATTAAAAGATTTAAGGCAGTTGTTGACGTGAGAAAGAATACATTCTGGTTTGTTTTGGTGAGAGCGAGTGTTAAACTCTGTCTGCATAATCTTTCTGCTGATATGATTAATGCATTTTTTTTTCATGGGATAGTTTTGAGCTAATTTTACGTTTTTAACATTTATTTTTAGTAATATTGCTGTGGGACTGGGAAATTTTTTTTTAGAGGTTTTAGTGGTATGATTACCAGCTTAAGAAATCGTATGACTTATTAACCTAAATATCAGGTACTAGACCATTATGTAAAATAGGTCTATACCTTTTGTTATGGTGTTACTTGTGGAAACAGCTTAGAATTGACCTTGAAGTATAGTTTTTTGCCCGTTTTTTTCTGGATACATGTGTTTTGATTCTTAAAAATGAATTTGAAGAGATAATGGGTTTATATGAAAAAATGAAGATGTGGAATGATTGCCAAAGAGACAACTCTCTCACCAGAGACTAAATGTTGTAAAAGTTAGCACACAATATGTCACTCTACAGCCTTCAACATGAAAAAGACAACCACAGAGTTATAGGCTTCTGTATGTCAATGAACTTTGTTACCTATTGCATCTGCAGTTAACTGATACCAATTGGGTGTGGTCAAGGTCTCATAAAAAATTGTCTGGCTGAATAGACTTATTGGATAAAAGTTATAGTTATAAGTTCTTCAATTTCAAAAGAATTATTGATATGCTATAGAACATGGATAGTTATTAATTTTTTTGGAGAATAAAAGAAATTGATTTGATGGTAACATATTACTTATTATCTGTTAAAAACATAGAAAAATGTATTTATAGAAATGAGGGTGGCATTCAGTTTCTCAAAATCAGGAAATAATATATTATTTCAAAAGTTTTTGAAGTGGTAGCATGAAAACAAAGATTAATAAAAATGAATTTCTTACCTATTTGCTTAATATCCAGTTTGTATGAAATTGGTCCACCCATTTTACTTATATATATTTTTTAATGCAACTATATTTGTGCACAAGAGTATTTAACCCTAGACTGCAGTGTAAAAATGAGGGTTGTAATTGTATAATCAGAAAACCCATGTAGATAGATTATAAAATGTTTTACGGGCATCAAGCATAAAGTTAAGGCATTGTTAAGCATTGACAAAATTAATCTGAATTGAGTCAGTTTGGAAATGGATATGTTAACTGGAATACAGGTGTTTGCTCGATAGGGTCAAACATGATGATATAGAAGAAATTTTACCCCTTAATCAAATGTAACCCATCATTTAAAGATCACAGGTTCTGATTTATATAGAAATATATCGGCAAATTTAGAGGTAGAATATGTTTGACTGTTACCTGGCACACGATGCCTTAATTGTCGTGTTCGTGAAAATTAAATTGCTCCTTGTGTTGTATTTTTCTAGTAGGATATAAACATGTATGAAACATGGTAAATTATATCCTATTGCTTTGATTGTTATCAGCATAAATACCAGATAGGAGGGTCTTGATGGGGATTACAGAATAGAGAATAAAGGGCCGATTCTACAGAAAAATGGGCCCATAAAGATAAATAATAGGGAAAAATAGACCGAAAAAATAAAGAATATAGAATAATAGGGTGCTAAAATATAAAGAATAGAAAATAATGGGAAAAAATATAAACAATAGAGAAAAATGACCTAAAAATTAAAGAATACAGAAATGAAGGACCCCATCCAGACACTCAGATAGTATCTTGTGATTCTAAATGTAAAGATTTGTATTACTGATAACATAGTTTTAATTTTTTCCAAATTAGAATAATATAATATTCTAAAAATAGCCTTAACATTGCCTTTTATAGAAAACAATGAAATAATGGCTATATTTATTTTGTAATACACTTTTAGAGTTATTTTAAATGTCAAGAAAAATATTTCTATAGCCTTGTGAATACACATGGGAACTAAAATGAAGAAAAGTAGTCAAATGAAATGGAGAAAAAAATCTGTGATGTTTTGAAAAGTGAATAAGTTGTGTCAATGTCTTAATTATTATGATTACAGTGTTTTAGTTGCCATGGCTACTAACCATCATATTCCATCTCCATGAGTTTATTGGTTTTTAAATATCCATGAAATTTTGCCTCCGTCTGATCTTTAGTTTTATACATTTTGACAGATTAAGTATTGTCTTTATACAAAAATATGTTTACTTTCCCAAATCTGCAGAAGATGTGCTGGTAGGAGCCCAGTGAAATAACTAATCTGTGAATTTTCTGCTCTTGACTATCTAAAACTTTTATTTCCAGCTTGTTAACTTTTTGAAAATTTTACACATCTCTAAATCCTCACTGTATAAAAAGATTTTTTTTATTCAATATTTCATATATTCACTGATCAAAGATTTATAAATTCTTTAGTTTTAACATTCCTCCTTTGAAATCACAGCAAGTGTCATTCCTTAATCCCATGTGTAAATTTTTTTACGTTAAAATAAGACGTTTGTGGTATATATTGATTGTTACAACCAGTTATCAAAACAAATCTTTTAAAACTAAAACTTGCAGACAAAAAGAATGATTTACGTTGTTCCTTGTTTGGACAATCATTTAAATTTTTTCTTCGCATTTACATTAGTTACAAAAATACTTTTACTTTAATGAGTACAAAATAATTAAAAAGTCAAAACTACCGCATTGTTCGTTAGAAATTAGCCTTACAACAATGGGGTACAGTTTTTGTTCAACGGTAAAGTGGAAATTAGCGATAATTAACAGATTAAAAGAACAAAAAGGCCGAAATGACACATTTCAATTATATTTATCTTTATGAGTCAATTTTAATTTTAAGTACCAATGTACATTAAATCATTTTATGAATAGTCAAATATCTTTAAAAATGTCATAAATGGGAAGCACTTGATGGAAAAGTTTTATTTAAAGCAATGTAGGATTGAGAAATCACAGAACTAGTTTGTTTTCACTGCAAGTTCAAGTCAAGAATCTCTTCAGAGAATGTCATTACTTTTTTAACATCTTTGTTATTGGGGAATTTTGTGTAAGCTTCATATCTTTGCTTTTTATTTTTTTAATTCATTTTTAACTACTCTAGACTAGATGTATTTTGTTGGTTAATTTGTTTTGTTTGTTTGCTGTCGCCCCCCTTTTTATTTTCATGTTATTAATTTGACAATAAATGATTAGAATGCTTGTTTTTGATCAAGTAAGAACAAACAAAAGCTTGAAAAGGCAAGGTTTAATGGACCATTTCACCCTTAAAAACTAGTATCATGGCTTTCTATAGTTGAAGATTAGAATCCTTTCATTTCATATATTGATGACTGTCCAAAAACAGCATTAAATCATTCAGTTTATAAAAGAATATACATTTGTATTCAGATATTCTTATTTTGACAACCTTTCACCTGAGTTAGAACGTGATTGCTATTTATACAGATTCAATGATGAAATTTTTTCTGCAATTTGTCAAATTTCCTTGTTATTAGAAAAAATGCTCTCCCTATAGTTCTATACAAGGTGACTTATCATTGCTACGTCTTTTGAACTCTGGTGGATAGTTGTCTTTTAAATTTTGATCACTTTTGGACTTCATTGGTGAAAACTTTTGTCATACTTGTTCTGTTAGAATGTATGAAATATAGTCAGAATGACTTCTCAAGTACTTATTACTATTGTCAACAATTTGATTTTTTCTTGATTTCTTTTTTTTTTTAATTTTTAATGGAAAAATAAAAAATTAGAATCCATTAATCTTAATACATTTGTACTAACCTGACTGCTCAATTGGAGAAATGATAGAGCTTTCAGAAAGCATAAGTTCCGAGTAGGACATTTTGAATAATTATTTATATCCACAAAATAGTATAAGCTATAAATTCTATTTCTCAAAACAATCTTTTAAGGGCATTTTCAACATTATCCATGTTTCTCAGAGTACATATGAAAAAGTTGTAAATCAGAACGGTTGTTACTCCAGTGCCAGAATTATTGAATTAGTTTTATAAAGAATCACCGTCTAAACTGTTACACAGCAAATTTAATTGTTATGTTGTTAATTAGTATTGTATGAATTGAACTATTTATTACATTAATATGCAAATTTAGTCAATTGTTACAATGATTTATAAACGTTCAGACTATCCAGATGATGATCAATGATAAAGATTGCCACTTTTTAAAATGTTACATGTTGCGTAGCATTTATAAACGTGATGTTATGATATGAAATTGCAGATCTTTAAATACTGGTTGTAATTAGATTGTCAGGGCATATTTTTGCATTAAATGACACTGTATATTTGTGATAATTTGATAGTTTTCTGAAAGATTGACAAAACCAAACAAGATTTGACAGTTTTAATTCGATACTGTCTATCTTTTTAAGCATGATTTTATTTACTTAGGAATTTGATCAGTATATAATTAAGGATGAAAAATTAACACATGTTTCTTTCTTCTTTACCTATAGACAAACAAGATAAGTATACCTTGGCATTATACATGTAAAGTCCACCTCTACTGAGTTTAGAGAGGAGTATTTTACAACCCCCTGTGGCTGTAATAGATATTGACAAGAACTTCTTTATTGTATGTTAAGTAAATAATTTATCTCATTTCTTATATAAATTGATATATCATTTATTGTACAAAAAAGTTATTGAAAAACTCAAATTTATATCATGGTGAAATTGTACCTCTTTAGTATCTTTAGTATACCACTAAGGCTAATGGTTAGGAAGTGCAATGCCATAACTATAGTTTTGTATGAATTGTTTACTTATTTGATAGTTTTTAAACCATGATATATACTAGTATCCCTCTGCACTTAATAATTGAGCTAACAGCTTGACCTCTGACAAGTTTTAGGTATTAAGTTTTAAATCATGTACATTTATAAATTCTTGCAATGTTTTTAATATTGCAAAATTTGTGACAGAATAGGAACAAAGAAAATAAGAACTCACATTTTATTTTAAATTCAAATATCATTATTTGAATGCAGCATTTACTGATTTTGTCCAGCTTTTAAAAATCTCAATAATTAAAGCATGCAAAATTTCCAAATTTACAGTGATCATGTTGGAAATTTATGATGTTGGGTTGCTGTTTCCATGTGATCTTATGTCTCCTTTTTATATGTTAATTGCCATCTTAACTTATTGGTAAAGCTTTGATCATTTGTATCTTTATCATATCTTAACTGGTCATCATCAATAAACTCTTGAGAACAGATGGTCATAGCATGATAGCCTTTAAATTTCAGCATTTGCTTTTTGTATACTATCAAAATTACACCTAGGCAAGACATCTCTCTGTGCCAATAGTTAATTGGATGAGTCATTTTTCTTTAAAATGACTTATGATAAGTCAAAGATATTCAGTAAAGAGAGGACATGTTCATTTGACAGGATTCATTTGACCCTTGACTTTTAAAATGTGTATCTAAATATTAAAGCAGGCAAGAAAATTTTTAGTGTGTATATATGCTCTTGTTTTCAGTAGATTTAAACACTGGCAATATATTTTATGAGATATTATCTGTGTAAAGATGGATTAAATATATTTTATTTATTTGGATTTAAGGTTGTGTAATATTGTCCATTAAATTTTGTGCAGAGCTCTTAAGTAGATTAGCTTGTCTAGTTCATTAAACTTATTTACTTAAAAAGTCTGTTTTAAGTAATAAGCTATAACATTAACATGTTCACTTACAATTATTTAAAGCAGAACCTTGAGTCACAAACTCTGTTTTAAGTAAAAAGCTGTAACATTAACATGTTCACTTGCAATTATGCAAAACAGAACATTGCGTCACAAACTCAAGAAATTCTAAACTGTTCTCTTACAATAATGAAAATAGTTTAAAGAGTTGAACATTCAAGTCACAACAATGTACAGCATGATTTATACATTCCTTTCAAAGTCTAATAAAGTTAATTAAAAGTGCCAATAATTAAAATAATGGGATAATTGAGAACTTGTATGTGAACACTTCAGGAAGTAAAAAAAACCATTTTCATTAGTGAAAGGATGAAGCAAAAGTGGGGTCTTGAAAAAGGGGTATCTATGAGTACATTTGGTGCTTGTAAACTTGACTGTTTATTTAAATAAAAAAATCAAACAAAATGAAAAAGAATTGAAAATTGTTTTGTAATGATGAATTAGGCTTATAAATTATTCAATAATTATTGTATTTAATTAAAAAAAAAAAATTTGATGTATTGAAAAATGAATTTCATAACTTTATAACACAATAGTTGTTTATCACTTTAATTGTTATATATAAAGGTTTACACAATTTGTCAATTTCCATAGGGAAATGAAACAAAAGAGAAATGTACATTAATTTTCTTAATTTGTAAATGATTTGTATTCTGATTTTGATTTCCCCAATCTGGGAAAGAGCTAAGGATACATATAGCTGTTTGCTGGCTTTATTCAATTCAGAATAGGACATGATATTGTTATATTTTCTTCCTTTATTTATCAAATAGTAGTTTTTGAAAGGATATTTATTGAACATCAATATTTTCAAAATCCAATGTCATCAAGACTTTTATAACCATCTGCTCAATTGTTTGTATCTTATAGTTATGTTTTAATAACTGTATCACTATTCTGGTAAGTTACCAATTCTGAATCTCTTTTCAAATATTTTATTGAATATTTCTATTTTAAAATGTAAAATGATACATATTTAAAGAGTGTTTAAACATTTATTCTGATAACAGAAGTCAATTTTTCTATTTTAAATTTTAAATGATTTACCTTGCAGATTAATAGATAGTAAGAAATCAATCTGAAATTGGCAATTGAATGTAAGGAATAAATTTCAAATTATGGTACTCACCTTTCTGAAGTATTGAAAAGTGTTCTTCCAAAAGATTATTCATTTTTTTGAACTTATCTATTTGGCCTTCTCATATACAATTACTAAACATGCATCAAATGAATATGATAGCCTTCTCAAACATTGATAGAAAACTTTTGACTTTAAAATAATAATTTAATATTATGCAACATTAGAAGGGCTTTTGTATTTAAATAAGATTTTCTATCCAT